CGAGAAGGCCCTGGGGTTCCTGTCCCTGGCCGTGGTGGCCGGCGGGGCCTGCCCGCGCTCCCTGCGCCGCAGGGCCAAGTGCCTCGGGCTGCTGGGGCAGCACCAGCGGGCCCTGGCAGACATGGACGCCGTGATCCAGGGGCACGGCGGGCACAGCCCGAGGACACGGGCGCGGGATCTGTGCTCCAGGGGGCTGCTGCTGCTGGCCATGGGGCAGGAGGAGGCAGCGGTCCAGCAGTACATGCAGGCCCTGCGGCTGGACCGGCCCGCGGCCCTGGGCAGCATCGCGGAGCGCCCCGGCAGCCAGGCCTTGGCCAGGGCCTTCCACAGCACGGCACGGCACAGCCTCCGGACGCGGCGGTACCGAGAGGCCTGGGAGGTCACGGACTACGGGCTGCAGATCGATAAAAACCCCGAGCTGCAGAGGCTGAGGATGAGGCTGAAGAGGGAGGCGTCGGGCTGCAGCATCCACTGATCTCCCTGCCTGGGGATTTTCCGCTCTCTGGTTGCTGCGTGGTTTGTTTGTGAGGCTGCAGGAGAGAGGGAAAGATGAGGAGCTCGTGATAAATATGCAACAGATGTGACGCCGAGCAGGATTAGAGAAGTAGAAAGTTTCAGGTGGTGAAGCAAAACTGACCAAGAGAGCCATGGGGGGGGAAAGGGAGTTGCAGTATTCACAGTTCTTTAAAATTATTTAAAAATTATTGTGGGTTATGTAAACTCCCCCTTGGGAAGAAAGCTTTCTTCTGGCTAAACTGAACTAACTCTAACACAGGTCTTCCAGTCCTAGTGAAGGAAATCGTTCAAATGGCTTGCAGTTTATGAATAATAATAATGTATTTCCATGACATTTGATTAGCTTTAACACATACTATTCAATTAAGTGGCCTTACTTTTATGGGCCAGTCAAAAAGATCAGTCAAAAATAACTTTTGTTATTGATGTAACACCATGTGTGTAACACCCCTCTCCTGACCTCCTCCTTCCTGGATGGAAGGCTCTGCCCTTGTCAAAGTGCCGTGGATTTGCACTGATCAGCACCAATACTGCGTAGTGGAGCAGCACAGATGCCAAGTAAACTGTTTTACTGGCCCAGGGAACAGTAAAACAAGAGATAATATGAAGGATGAGACTCAACAGAGATGAGATACCCAATCCTGGGAGTCCTGCCCTGTTATCTGGGACACACAGGCAGCCGGACTCCAGACTTCACCTGGGGCTGCCAGATCCTGTGTCTCTGCCAGAGCAGATAATGGGAATAATCTCTCTGTAGGGGCGTTTGCCAGAGGTGCTAAACACCATCCTTCACACTCCTGAATTTCAAGCACCAAAGCTGGAGCATGAACTCACCAAGACTGGCCCATGTGCAGCAGGAGCTGGGGTTGGAGGCAGCAGCCAAGGTGCTGCTGCTGGGACTGCTCTCCGTGCTGCAGCACTCCCTCATCCCCCTCATCCACGGGGAGCAGCACAGGAATCAGCCTCTGGAATGCTCAGAAGGGGTTTGCCTGTTGTCATGTGTCTGGTTTTGTCACAGGTGGACTTGGGGACACCCCAAATTTAGTGCTGGTACATCCAGGGGGTTCACCTGTGCAAGGGGGACCCTCAGCTCAGGAGGGTTCTCACAGAGGAAACAAGGTGGGACCCAAAACAACCACCTCCTCTGTTTGTTTTGGCTTCTCCAAGTGACTTCCCCTGATGTTTTTGGAGTGTGATAATACAACCATGGAGAAAAACAGAAACTACTATTGAAAACAAAGATCAAAGCACTGCTGAGAACTGCTCTCCTGCTTTGATTGGGATGAAAGGGAGAGGGAGCCTTTTCTTTTTTGTTATATTGTTGTCTCAAAGGCAACAATCCAGAGTGAAACTTCATTCAGCAGCCGTGCAATCAACCCCAGAGCACTGACATCATCTGTAACCTTCCATCTCCCATCTCATTTTCCCTCTCTGCATGTTCCTTTTCTGCCCTAAGAGCACAGCTGAGACTGGGCTTCTTTCCCTTCAAATTCAAGAAGAGTTACTTTGATTTTAATCCCAGTGACACTGATGAGTACTTTCCCCCCTGTTTGACATCAAGATGCTATTGTTTCCACTTCTTTCGGGTTGAAGAATCTGGCTAAAAAAACCTGCAGTGACCATTTCTGTAGGTTTTTTTAATGTTAAGCTGCAATTCGTGGAGATTGTGGAGCTGCTTCCAACTGCTTTGAGACCCATCCCTCACTTTGTGCATGTTTGAATACTTAAAAAAGGGACTCTATATAGAGAGTCTTTAGTGCTTTAGGACATACCCTTATGGCTTGGTGCTGTAAATGCTACAAAACTGTGAAGAATTCAAATATATTTATGTGAATCAAGACTAATGTAATCAGGAAGAGACTGCAGCCTAACAAATACTGAAACTGGATACCTGTTTGTAATCCAGCTTGAAGCTACAGCCATCCCAAGGAAAGGTTAAATACCTGTAGTTTATTCAACTCAGAGCTCTATACAGACACTAACAAATAATTCTTTGCTCTCCACGAATTTTGTTCCTTTCAAGTATCCTGCAACCTTAAAACACCGAGGACTTTGTTGTGCATCATCACCAGGTAATGAATAACGAAAGAAACCTGAAATCGTGGCTCAGAGTGCTCCTACACAAACAGCTACCTGCCAGTTTTGCCTCTCTGAAGTATCCAACATTCCTTCTAAGCACAGAAAAGGAAAATCAGGTGTGAGAATATTTGCATCCCACAGTCAGACAAGTAAAGTTTCCTGACCTCATGCTCTGCAGTCCAGCAGGCAAAGAACAGCTCAGAAATTATGGCAAAGTGTTTGGAATCAACTGTTCGACTGGAAGCTGTTCCTCGAGTTCAGACAGAGCTAAACTTTGAGCTTTTGTGACCTCAAAAGGTTTCATTTCCTCTAAAATCCTGTCGCTCCCGTTTATTTTTCCCATTTCACTTGGTTATGTGCTCCCGGGTACCGAGAGAGTCTGAACAATCAGCCAACTTCTGCAACTGCTTCAGAAGCTGACACATCTCCTGGGAATTCGTCTTCCTGACTTTCAGCCTGAGCCCTTGTGCTCCCCAGCCCTGGAGCCTGTGGCAGTGTGGCCCTGGCTCGGGGCCATGCAAACCCAGGCACGTTAATGAGCTTCCCTGTGCCCGGGTGAGGACACTGCACTCCACTTGCAGGGGCAGATGTTTCACTTTAATGACAGCTAATCCAAAAGCCATTTCTTTTACTATCATTTCCCTGCAGAAGATGAACTGTGTTATCATGGCCCTGCTGCTGCACTGAGCCATTTCCAATTTGCCAGAGCTCCGAGGAGCCGCTGCCACCATCAATTTGATGTGTGACATGGAATTATCACTGCCAGGGTGCTCTGCCTTTGCAGCCTCGGCTATTTCAGCTGTGTTTCAGATAAACTGGTCTGTGCTGGAATCTGCTGGTTCAATTGGCCATTTCTCAGTGGCACCTGAAGAAAAATGACTCATTATTTAGCAGGCACAGCATCCCAAAGCTGTGGGATTCAGAAGGCTCTTTCTCCTCCTGCTCCTGCTCTGTGTTCCAGGAGTGACTTTTTCTGCAGGACGCCAAGGAATGCTGCACCTGTGTGCAACTCTGGCACCCCAAGCACAGGAGCATTGGTTTATTTGCTCCCAAAAGTGCTTGGAGGGTGGAAGGCAGACAGCTGATATTGGTGTCTGTGGCACTCAGAAGGTGGGGACGTATGAGGGCAGGGGAGAAAGGAATTGCCACCCAAATGGTGAGGTTAGAGAACATGAGCCAGTCCCAAAGTATGGCAGCAGAGAGTGGAAAACAGCTGTGATGACAGTGATGTTATTTTCAGTTTCTCACTGAGAGGGTGAAAAAGGCCAGTCCTGGCCCTCCCTGATGTCACAGCCTGGTGCCACCGACCCCATGGGTGCCACACCTCGGGTCAAGTGTGGAACCTACACACCTGAGACACTTGTAACTATTTCATTTTCAGTTCTCTTCCCTTCCAGAGTTTATCTTGGGCATGTGATGCGTGGCCAAAACCTCCCAGGGGCTCTGGCAAGCCCACCCTGTGTTCCCAACAGCCCCCAAGGACCTGTCCTGTGTGCAGAGCAAACCCTGCCACATCAGCTGTGGCTTTGGGACTGAATCACCACCCAACCCAATCATTTCTGTGTGTGTGTGTTCCCTGCACAATCCCAAAAAGCCAGGAGCTGCAGAGAATAAACGAGCACAGGAATTTCCCCGGGGACTGTAAAGGAAATTAGGAGCAGTGTCTGATAATCAGTCTGTGGGGCTCGTTCTGAGCTGTGTCACAGTCAATGAGAAAATGTAGCTGCAAAGCCAGAGGGGGGTTGTAGGAGGGAGCAGGAAGCACAGGAGGATGTTAATGATCCCATTCCAGTCCTTGGTTTCCATTTTGTTGTGCCCCTCAGTTGTGCTTCCCTGTCCAGGTCAGTGCTGCAGATGCCCAGCACCAGCCAGCAACCACACCTCACCAGGGGGAGGGACAGGGACCTCCAGCCACGAGGGAGCCCCGGGTTTGGATCCAGATCAGTAGTGGATGAAATGAAAAACTGACAGGGATTAGTATTTTCCCACTTTAAAATGACCATCTCACCGAGCATCTTGATTGCTTAGAAAGCTCAGATGTCCCATTATGAGACATTCCAACCCTGGTAATACACTCACTGTGTTCTCTAGAACTCCCATGAAAATCTTAAATGATTAGGAACACCTCTGAGTGCCTGTCACGGTGTAGGGTTTGTTCTTTCACTGCAGAGTTTAACAATAGAGACAATTATACCCTGCCATTTTCTTATTTTTTGCAGCCTTGCCAACAGTATTCTTGCAATGTTGTTTCTTTTCTTCTCATGCATCATTTGTCCATTCTTGGGCAATAAAACCTGCTTACTGAAGTAAACAGGTAATTAGCCATCTACATAAATTGCCCTGTGTCTGCACCATTAATGTGTTTGGATGTTTTAATTGATTGCATTCTCAACTGGTTTGGATGGCTTAAATGCCAGCTAATGCAATCCAATTAAGTCCACTAATAAACCTGACTGATGAACTGCAATATAATCACACATCAAGCAGAGATGTAGAGGAAAATGCCACGGAACTGACAGTTTAGAACAGACTGTGTCATTTTGAAAGACCCAAATCACTTCTCAACAGGGAAACTGGGAAAATCAACTCTAACTGGTGCTGGAGTTGGTCTCCAAGACCCAACACACCCTTTAAGCCAGTTTCTCTCCATGAAACATTTTTCATGGAATCACAGAACAGTCCAGGTTGGAAGGGACCTCAAAAGATCACGTGAGCCAACCTCTCGTGGGAAAGGGAGCCCAGATGAGATTACCCAGAGCCCTGCCCAGGTAAATCCTGTAAACCTCCAGGGCTGGGGACTCTGCCACTGCTCCAGTGATTGATTATTCTCACTGAGTCAAAAAAAACAATTCTTTTTCATATCAAGATGAAAACTCTCCCAGTGCAACTTGCACCTTTTGCCCCTTGTCTTCCCCGTGCAGCTGGAGAAGCATCAGCTTGATAATTGTCTCTGGGGAGCAGAAATGCAAAGGAAATTTTGGGTGGTGTGTGTGGGCCTCTTGATAATATTATTCAAACAAAACTAAATGAGGCAGCAGGAAGTTAAATAAACTCATACTGGGATACGATGTGAACTTCCACTAGTGCCCCACAAACAACTTGCTTGAAGATGGTGCAGTGTCTTTGTGTCAGCTCTGGGGGTCTCTTTCTAAGCCCAAAACAGAGGTTGGGGATTTAATGGAACAATCTGTGTGAAATTCTCTGCTCTGTTCTGCCAGATGCCAGACAAGACATAATAGCTCCTCTGGCATCAATGCCTATTAATCTAATCTTGACTTTGATTCTCTGTGTGACTCCCTTTCATCTGTAAAATGGGGATAATGCTCTCTTTCAGACGCTTGTCAGCCCCTCTTAGCTCTGGGTACAGAGTGCTTTGAAGTTGACATTATTTGTACATTTTACAGGATTGTGACAGAGCTGCAGATTGTCCCCAGCCCCTGTCTCAGTGGGGGCTGCTGGTGAAGGTCACCCCCTGCCCTGTGCCCTCACCCACTCGTGTGTCTGTGCAGCTCCCCTGGCACAGACCCTGGGCAGGGACCAGGGAACATCCCACACACCCACTGCCTGCTCAGCTCTGCTCTGGTGGCAGTGGCAAGGGAATAATAAAGACATTCAGTCACCTTGGACAGGCAGGGTCCTGCCTGTCTGAGCCCCAGAGCCTCTGCTGGACAAGGAACACACACGTCCCTGAGCTCCCTGTGCTGCACAGAGGGAACCACACACCCCCAACCAGTCCCTGATGGGAAACTCCAACCACAGAGGGGCACCTGGAACCCAAATCCCTCCCTGGTGGGCAGCCAGGTCCCTCTCTGCATCTCCAGACCCAGCACCCACTCCTAATCCCAATTTCCAGGAGTGATGGCCACAAACTAAAACACAACAATATCTTTCCTTGGAAACAGGAATTCTTTCTGTCATTTTAAAGGACCTAAACAGTGCATTTAATGGAACAGCTAAAACTTCTACGTGCTCAGTCAATGAAAACAAAGTAAAATATCTTCATTTTGTTTGTAATCTGTGTCCCTGCACAGCAAAACAAGGCAAAAAATACACCCTTTAAGTCACGTGCATATAATTGTATTATTAATGTATTAAGAATGTAATTGCAATACTCAGCACTGCACTGAAATTAAGTGTGGAAAGGAGACACTGCATTCCAGAAGTCTTCATGCCATAGATACCTGAAAAACCTCTTGGGGGAAAAAGTAAAGCACATGGTGGAAAATTTGGAGGACTTTCCTAAGAATTAATTGCTGTAACAGAAGAGACTTTGCTAATGCTAATAAGCAATAAATGCTAATAAGCCAGGAAATCACCTTGCCCACTTAGAGGCAGCAGGGCTTGTGCCTGCTATGCAACGTGTTTTCCAGTCTGGATGTAAAATCAAGTGATTTCCAATATGGAAAGGGTTAATCTCCCTGAGAAGCCTCAGCATTTAATTCATTGGGCATTGGAAGCCACCTGTGAGTGAGTGAGTGTTCAAGGGAAAGAGAGGGAGATTTAGGCACAGCACTTTGCAATTCCATCACTGGTAGAGGCATCAATGCTGAGAACATGAATAAGCATTTATTTCTGGCTGCCAGAAAGCACAAACACCTCAATTCCACCCCAGAAACTACACGAGCCACCTGAGCTCTGCGGCTGAGGAACATCCTCCACCAGACCAAGGTAAGACACCTTCCCTTTTTCCTGCTTGTCTCTGCAAAGTGCATGAATTCAGAAATTCAGGGCAGAAATCCTTGCTTACCTTGCACACACAACAGCACTAATGTCTGCTGGTTTTTTTTGCTCTGCTGATGTTCCAAAGATGCTCATCTTTAAAGGGAGGGTGAGAGAAGAGTTTTGAAACATCACCTAAACTTCCAGGTTTTCCCAATTCTAACCTGTTTCAGCTGTGCCTCTACCAGGACTTATTTCCACCACGCACAGCTGGGAGCCAACCAGCTCCAAGAAGATATTTCAGTGCTGGGTTTTATTTCTTTTATGCTGCTTGACAGATGACAGGGTTACACCGGCTCCCAAAGACAGACCCATTATGTCTGAGCACAATGAGTTATCCTCTGTGCTCGGCAGCCCTGCTCCAATAAATCACAGGGAACATCCAGCCATTGTCCTGGAGCCAGGCGTGGTGCTGATTTACTGGGGCCAGGCTGTTTGCTTGGGCTTTTTGTTTTAATGTCACCCCAGAGCTTCAGATTTTCTCCCATGTTTAAGGTAAATGCATATACCAGACTCATTTAAATCTGACTATGGAATAGTGGCACTGCTCTGGTTCCTGAACAAAACCAGCGATGCTGAGAGTGAATCTGACCTTGAATCTGAACCATATAAATCCTGGTTCAGGTGAGTTTTCCTATTTAGATTAATTCATATAAGCAGAAGAAATACACCTTTGTGTAACCTGAGCATCGAAACACAGATCACGACAGATTAGAGCTCTCTTTCCACACTGGTGGTTCTTTATTGTACTAAAACCAAAGAGGTAAACAATAAGAGAGGTTTTGAGCAGTCTCTGAGGAGTTTCAGAGCTGCTCTCAGTCCCTCTGCCTCTCACACTTACTGGTCACCTGGAACCTGCAGTTCACATGGAAGTGATTGCAGAGCTGGTTTTGCACTTCCCCTGACACAGGACTGCCTAAAACCCATTTAGAGGGGACTTTTTCTGCGCAGGCAAAGGGTTCAGGGCAACCTACAACCCCTGACATCCAAAGGTGTGTGATTTCCCCTCACATCTCCCTGTGCATCAGTCTGTAAGGAGTGTAACACAGAGAGATGGAGACCTTGTTTCCATGGTAACAACACTTAAGACACATCACACTGAAGATGCTGCCACGTCCTTTGGCTGCTTTAGGACACTGAGCTGTTGGTACCTTTGATGGAGCTGTTCAATACCTGCAGGAGAAGCCCAGAGCTGTGGCTGGGAAATCACTGCCCTGCTGGGCATCCCTGGACTTCTAGGAGCATTCAGGGAGCAGCAGACACAGGATCAGCTGTTCAGATGACCCAGAACATTCAATTACATCAATACTAAGACTAAAGACTGTGCAAAACCTCTGGATGGCAAGGAACTGAATGAGGTAATATATCCTCATAGACAAATATATATAGATAGATTATAAGAATATTGGGTAATATATCCTCATAAGCACAGAGCTTTTGAGGCCCAACCTCTGATGGTAAAGCAAAGATGCAGAGGAAGAAAAATGAACAGCTTTTCACAATTTTTATCTCCAGAATCAATTCCCTCTGAAGGAAGAGTTGCAGGTCAACTTGACATCGTGGAAACTAAGACACAACAACCAAATTCCTGAGCAAGGTAGTATTATCCTTGGCTACTATCTCCTCCCAGTGCAGTGCCCCAGGTATAGCCATGGTTATTCCAGATTCTCCAGGGGAAATATGAAAAGAAAAATATTCAAACACAGCCTCCCAGGCAAGTGAGGCACCAGCTGTACTATTTGCTGTCCAGGGCTGGAACACTCTGACCATAAATTCCTCCCAGACTTGAGAATTTTTCCCAAGGAGAAAAGCATTGCATAAAACTGCAGAGCAGCTCCCTGTCTCTCTTCAGGAACCACGGTAGTTCTGTGTGGCTGGGGAAGCCTTATGCCTGAGGAAGCACCTTTTTATTAAATATTCCTGTGTGGAGTCCTGTAGTTCACAGTGAGCACATCCTAAAAGCAGGCAGTCATCCAGCCTGGCTGCTCCAGCCCCATCCCTCCAGGATCCAAGTGTAAAAATCTCTGATTTGAGGCTTTTTCCAAACTGTAACTGAGAGCTCTTTACACATCCAAATTCCAGTAACAGGAGAACCTCCTTCACAAAGTTACAAAGTAAGCAAAAAGGGAAAAATCCTTTCAAAGCAGCCCAACCCAAACAGCAAAGGCCTCATTGCTTCATATGTTTTGAGTCCACACTGCTTTGGGGAAAGAGGATGTTTCCTAAGAACTGAAAACCCCCACTGTTCCTCAATTTCTGCAAGAAAAATTCCCCACATCAGTGTTCACCTTCTCTGTATTGCAAGAGAGATGATGCTTTTTAAGCTGCTTGGTAAAATGAGGGGCTAATGGACTGTGGAGTCGACCAGCAGGTGAGAGACCAGCACATGGAAATTCCTGCAGGCAGTGATTCAATGGGGAATAATTCAGCCGAATGTGAGATTTAGGAAAAAGTAAATGACAAAACAACCCCATTCCACTTTGCAGCATCAAGTCTCCTTTGCCACAGAGGCTCCAAGGTGATGCTGAGAGTGTCAGAAACCAAAGCAGGTCTGTCCCCTTGGAAGCAGGGAGCAGAACAGGGACCTTGCTGCACTGCCAGGATGATGGATTGCCCTATTTCAGTGACCACACAAAGTTGCTCAAGACAATCAAAATTAATGATTCTGCAAATATGTCCTTTACAGTTGCTGATGCTTCTCCTCACACAGAAGGGTTGTTTTTGTTTGGGTTGCTTTGTTTGGGTTGTTTGCGGGTTTTTTTACTTCCTTACAGCCCAGCAGTAGGAATAAGGCTCTTGGATTCTTGGCATCTTAACTCTGCAACTCCAAAATGGGCAAAATAATACCCTGCAGTATCTTATAACCATGGTACAAGAATACCTTAGATCTCCAAAAATAACTACATTAAAACCTGAGACACCTGCAGTGCTATGGACCTCAACCAGGAGGACCCTCCTCAGAGCCACCCTCGTTGCAAGGTACCAGCAAAACTGCTCAGCAGTAAGGAAGACTCACATACACAGGAAACGAGTCTTTTTTAGCTGTAGAACTTTCTGCAAACAGAAATGAGGGATGATTTGAATCTTCATTAAATGCATAGTTTTGTCCCCAGGAGCGACCCTGCCTTCTGCAGCTTTTTCTCCCATATGGACACCCAGGATCTGCACGTGCCTTTCAGATCCCTGTGTTCTCATCCTCCTCCTCAGCTGGTGGGATGAGAATAGCTGCCTTCACACTCGACAGAAGCCTGAGATAACATGACTCCGAAAAAAAGGGCAAATTCTCACAGGGATTTTGAGGCAGAATCCTGACTGGGAGAGGAGACTTGGACTCCTGGCAGAAGAAACTGGTGTTCATTGTTTCCTACCCTTGGAACACTGTGTGTACATTCCCAAATCAGGACTGCCACAAAGGAATCCCTGCTCTGCCCTCAGCACCTCCTCCCGAGCACACACAGGGCTGGGAGCACAGGTCGGGAGAGGCACAACCTGACAGTTTATCCACTGTGACCTCGGGCAGCTCGGTGACAAACCCCCCAGACACCGACCCGCTTCTGCCTCGCTCCAGAGCCAGTTCTGGGGAAGAACAAAACCAACCCCCAGGGGAATCACACGCCTTCCCTGCCCTTTTATCTTTCCCGGTTGTAACCAGACGGCTTCCCCGGCAGCAGCATGAGGGACCAGGGTGCGTTGCCCACACCAGCCCATAAATCCTGTTCCCCAACCCAAGCCGTTCCCACATCAGAGCCCAAAGCCGCGGCCGCTCTCGCAGCCGGAGGGTTTCGGTGGGTTGCCCCCTCCCCTGTGGCCCTCGAGGGCTAGCAGGGATTTGCGGGAAGCCGGGGGGACTCTCGGGAGAAGCCGCAGCAGCTCCAGCCCCGCTCCGACCCCTCCTCCCGCGGCTGCCCGGGGTTGGGATCTTTTCCATTTGCCTGGAGCCGGGAAGGGCGCACGGCTGAGCTCCCGCTCCGAGCATGGCTCGGGGGGCTCCGAGGGGCTGCCGGGCACAGCCTCCTGCACACCCGGGAGCCCACGCGTGTCCCGGGAGCTTCCCACCCTCCAGACCCTCCGCCCGCGCCGGAGACCCCGCTCGGAGGCACCGGGAAGGATCCCGGGGTGGATCCCCCGGCTGGTAACGGAGCCCCGCGGAAGGAATTCCTCAAAACTGCGAGAGACTTCCAAAGTGGGGGGTGGAAGGCGGCAGTTTTCCCCCTCCTTTCCCGTTCGGGAGAAAGGAGCTGCCCAACCTGGTCATGAGACTCTTCCACACTTCCCAAAGAGGCTCCTGAAGTTCTGGCGCTGCAGCACTGGGAGCCCGGGGCAGCCAGTCCAGCGCAGCCCCGCCGAGGGCACACACAGCTCGGGAGATGGAGAATGAGGTTGGCAAATCTGTGGACAATCAAATGGACAAATACATGTAATAATTTGGAACTTTCCTCTCTCCCTTTGCTTTTATTCTGATTCCTTTTCCTCCCTGCTTTCTCCTGCTTTTACCCTTGCGCTGATTTAGCTGTGCCGTTAATTCTTCTTTTTTACCCTCCCCGATTTAGAGTTACAATAATGGGGAAATCAGAAAGCCAGATGGATATTGTGGAAAAATCAACGAAATCTGGGAAGAAGCCCTGGAGCTTTGTGGCACTGGGTCTGGCTGTCCTGCTGCTCCTCATGACTTGTGCCGCCGTCGCCCTGGTGATCCTGTATGCCAGCAGCAGAGGTAAGAACCTGGGAATGATTCTCCTCTTCCCTCTGCAAACAGCATACAAGTCTTTTTCTTCTTTTTTTTTTTTTTCTTCAGAGATAAATGAAAATAAAATTCCAGGGGGGACAGTGAAGTCACCTCTGTGAGGGATGTGGCTGTCTCTGCCTTGTTCCCAGCTTGTGCATAGAGATTGCGTTGGATTTTACTTAATTTTTAAATTATGTGATGTAAGATTCTGTGTTTTCAATGAATTCCATGCATTTTGTTGAATTCAGCATTGTTTTGAGAAAGATGCTGCGCTGTTTCAGGGGGAGGGTGTGTGTCTGTGTGTAAGGATTGATAGTTCCTTACACAAGAAGCACAAGCCAAGATTCATCATTGTCAGGATTTTTAAAGGAGCAGCTGCTTTAAAACACTTTTTGAAACAATCTCTCTAAAGGAGAAATTGCTTATTAAAATGTGAAAGCTTTAAAAAACAATGCCACTTTCTGCTGAGGAAAGAAGAGACTTTTTCAATATTCCACCAGGCAGTTGGATCTCTGAGTGTGATTTGGTTCAGTGACTTTAGTTCAAACGTCTTGCTGACACTGATGCACCTCATTTTGAGGTGTTCTGCCTGAATATTTCAGCTGCAGAGCACACGAACTAAAGCTGAAGTTTTTTCCCACCAGCACACCTGCTTTAAAATCCCGTGAAGCATCAAATGCCTGTGTTTGTCATTCCCATTAAAGCCTCTTGGATTCACATCTCTGCTAAAACGCTGGAGAACAGAACTAAAGCAGGAATAGCAAACCTGGAGCAAAGCACTGCTGTGTCCTTCCCCTGTCTCTGCATCCCCTGCTGCAGGGAACTGCGTTTTCAGCACTTGTAAGGGAAACACTGCACAACTCTGGGCAATAACTCCTGGGAAAAGCCTTTTTATTGTTCACTCCTTTTGCTACCAGCCGTTGAATGTTGGGTGGAATCTGAGTGTTTGGTATCCGTGAAGTTCATCAGAAAGTTTGTTCTACCAGCTCAGGAGATGGGAGGAAAGAAATTCCCCAGGGAAAGGTACTAGAGGAGGAGTTTCTGTATCAAATATTGAGCTCTGCAGGGTTTCGCTGCCTGAATAATTCAGGTGTTAATATTTGGTCACACACTGGACTCACCCAAACCCACGGGGGGAGCCAGTGCTAACTATGTTTGTTTGCTGGAAAGCTTCTCTGGGAGAAAACAAGCCTAAAATGTAAATATTTTGCATTCTTGTATGGCCAGTTAAACTGTCCCTGGAGGTGTTTCCCAGATTCAGACGTTCCTGGGCAGCAGGAGTGCCAGGCACTGCAGAGCTGATGTGCTGCCTGTCCTGGGCTGGTTCCTCCCAGCTGGATGGAGGGGGTTTGACCCAGAGCCCCTCTGTGCCTCTGCTCCCCCTGAGCACACACAGCTCATCTCCTGCTCCAGGGGACACCCCGGGGTGGGCTCACCCCAGAGCAGCCACGAGCTTTAGGAAATTCCAGGTAGGAACTGAGCAGGAGAAATGTCACCTTTTAGTGGGTGTCTGCGTGCCTTGTTTGGGTCTAAAGGTGTGGCAGAAAGAGCTCTTCAGGCTGTTCCTGCAGGGGAAACATTTGTCTTTTTGTCTTGAAAAGTTTTGTCCCAGTGCTCCCCTTGGCCCTGTTTTGCTGTCACCCCCAGGCCCATTCCCAAAGCTCAGCCAAGAGCCTGAAGTCTCAGACTCACCAGGGGAAAAGCACTTATGGCTCAAAGCTGTGCAACATAAATCCCACACAGCAACAGGAGAAAACCAGTGTAGCTGAGCAGCTTTCATGTGGTAGAACCCAGAGTGTTATCCTGGGGTTGTTCTGTTTCTAATTTCACTCAAATGTCGATTTTGAGGTGAGAATGGGACACTGGATTGTTCACTAAGAGCAGATTCAGATCTGCCACTTCGTCTCTGTACATCCCTGATCGTACTGGCACTACCCAGCCTCTAACAAATAATTCTGTTTAGCTAGTAATTAGAAATTAAATTAGAAAATTAAATTAGAAAGACAGAAGGATTACCTGTCCTGCCTTACATTGTCTCTTTTTTTTAATACAGAAAGGCATATATAGGCTTTGTGCTTCAGGAAGACTATTTCTGTTCTGCTTGCACAGAGCTCACAGAGGAGCATTGTGGTGCATGAAACAGGCCCCTGGGTACAGCAGTAATTCCTGTAGTTCTGTTAAAGCTGACTGGGATTTTTATCTCTATTCCCAGCCAACAAAAACACTGGAGCTCTCACAGCAGTGCAGTTCTACAGTCCTAGAGGCAGTCTGGGGATGCTCGACATCCAAGGAAGTTTTCATGCCCAGAAAAACTCATCTAAACAAGCTAAAGGAAAATACAGGAAGAACAGAGTAATATTTGGGTGATCACAGCAAGGGAAGCAGACAGGACTGAAGTCACTGGGTTTGGACCTGAACACTCCACACTCTCAGTCTTTCCATCACACCCACACGTTCAGCTCAGAGCCTTTCCACAGCTCCCTCCCAGCTCCCTTCCACAAATATTTACCAAACTCCAGATCTCAGCACTTGTTGGAGAGGTTACAGTCTGAAGAACATTTCAGCACTTATTGTAGCTGACACATCAAATCAGTCAGCAACTTCTTCAGGCAACTTAGTTACCAACCACTTCCATCCTCACCCAACTGCCGGTCCGGTAATGTCTTCTTTCAGTGACGTTTTATTCACTTTCTGGCTTCCAAGTTCCCTTCTCAGAAGCCAGACTCACAGATATTTATTTCTGTGTGCCTGCATCCCCTCAGGTTGTCCCTGCTGGCTGTTGGGAAGCTCAAGGTCATGCTCTGCTCTGTCCTCTTAGGTTGTAAACAGAGAAGAATCCAACCCTTGGTCTAAGCGACACCCTGCCCTGGGGGTTTCCAAAAAACCACATTTTCCTCCTACATTTTCTATGTTGTGAATGTGGTTCACAACTCGAATAACAGATTTACACAAACCTGCTGACCAGGAGCAACATCTGAACTGGCCACTGGCACTGTGAGAGGGGGCTGTGGCCGAGTTCTGCTCCTCTCCTGCACTGATGCCCAGATGAATGTTCATTAATTAAAAGCAGCTACTCAGAGCAGATGGGGGATTTAAAGAAGTGGCAGCTAAAACATAAGTCATGGTGATATTTGGGTGGCAAGACCCTTCTCAGTCAAAGTCAGAGGGAGCTCCATGGGTGTGGAGCGTTGCTGTGGGGTGACAGGACATGCAGGGCTGCAAACACTCTTCACTGAGTCTGACACAAATCCTGGCTCAGCCCTGCCTGTAGGTGAGAAATCCTAAGGAAGGAGGAATAAAACCAAACACTTGTGTTCTGGGCTCCATTTGAAGACCCTGACACCTGGTCCAGACCACCCTCCCCGACAAAGAAAACCTGAGCTTGGCAATTGTGTTGTTTGCTGCAAAAAATCCGCTGGTTTGACAGCAAAAAGAGCAGGTTGCAGTGCCAACAGCACTTCTGCAGAGGAGTTCTGGGGAACAGGGAAGGTGCTGGGAGGTAAAGCTCCCACATGGTGACAACTGTGGCTCTAATTGTTCCCGTGTGTGCCATCCCCAGCCATCTGTGCTCCTCCAAACGTGCTGTGGGGAAACACTAAACACAAGCTGTGAGCTCCAGAGCCCCACACAGCAATTTGCTTTGCTTTTGTTGTCTGACAGGGAGCTTCAGTCAGGCTGTGAAAAGCAACTTGTACTTAAAAAAAAAAATAATTGCCCTTCCAAAGCCAAGCTGCCGAAGGGGCCTGCAGGGCTCCACAGCTCTCAGGAGTCATCCTCACCTCCTGCTGCTGGCCAGGGAACGTGACAGGGCTCGGTGGCTTCTTGTAAAGGCAAATTAAGACAGTAGAATTCTCCACAGTGAGCCCAGAGGGGTCTGAAGCACGTCCCAGCTCTGCCATCTCTCAGGTGAGCCGTTCACCTCCGAAGGAGCATCTGGAGTTGCTTCATTTCCCTCATTTTCTTCCATTTGCTGTAGTCCCACAGCCAAGGTCGTTTTATTTGGCTCCATTAAAGCTTATTTTCCCTGATCAATTCTCTGATGATGCTGTGTCAGACTGAAAGGGATGTCAGAGCAGGAGGCTCTATGTCACTGTAACTCAACCTGTCAGCACCGTCTGACCGGGGAGAAAAATACAGACAATTGCCTGTATTTGTACTGAAAAGTTGGGCTCTTGTTTTAGCAAAGGGCTCTGACAAAATGAAGCACAGAGCTGCCTGGCTGAGGCTGCACAAGGTGCACTGTTATGTTTGATTGCAGCTGTTTGAAGGTGCAGGTGACAGAGGCTCAGTGGAGTGAGCAAAGACCTGACAAACCCCCTGCAAAGCCAAACAGGGCAGTGCTGGTCACCTCTCACAGGCCAGGTGGGGTCTGTGTCAGGAAAGGTGCTGAGGAATAAAGGACATAATTGACAGAAGGACAAAGGAGACACTTTCCAAGCCCCTCACCAGCTGTTCCTCCTGATCTGGTTTCGTGGCAGAGTTTCAGAGCCCTGAGTGTCCAAACCAGCTCTGGCTCCCCTGGTTATCCAGCTCAGCTACAGCCTCCCAGTCCCCAGGGCTTTGGGAAGGGGGGAGTCTGAGCCTTGTTGAAAGCAGTTGGGTTCCAGAAACTGGAGTCAGACGTTGTCAGGTTACATTAAGAGTAGGAGCTTTGACTAAAAAAAAAAAAGTTATAAAAGAAAAAAGGCTTCACTTGAGTCCTGCCTGGTCCCTGAGAAACAATGAGAAGCATAGAGTTCTTGTAAAACAGGTATTTCTGTCTCACCTTTGCTATTGCTCCTTTACAGAGAATTTCCATCTGCCTTTGAACTACTTATTTCTTTTCTCAAAACTCTTTTTTTTTTCCTTGAAAATACCCTGGGCTTTTAGGTTTGATTTTGCTAATTGTTTAATTAATAGAGAATTTAGGAAACTCCAAAAATTGCTCTTAGCTTCATCCAGCACAAAAAAAAAACCCAAGCCCCTGACAGAAACACCAAAAAAAAAAAAAAAAGCTAAACCATCTATGTGAAGCTTCACATTTTTACCCATATTTTGCTCATCCCATGTTGAGGTTGCCAGACCCCAGCCACAAGACACAGAGTTATTCTCATGCAGATGTGCTCAGCTGGGCCCCCATCCCAGTGGGGGCTTTTTGTGTCGCTCCCACTGATGAACTTCAAAGCCCTCTTTTCTTCCCCACTGTTTCATTTCTCTCTGAATTACTGTAATCTTGTTTCCTCTCATGTAAAGCACTTGCTTTCATTGACAGGAATTCTCTAGTAACTCTTTACTGCAAACATCCCAGTGCAAGGATCAAAAAAGGAGTTTAAAAAATATCTAATCCTGTTAGAAAGTATCAACTTTTGTTTTCCAGCGTGGAACCAAGTAGTTGTCTGTTTAACATACGTGGATACCAAGCTGGTCCAGTTTCACAAATAGGAAATTAAGCCATCAGAGTTCATTTCCTTCTCTCAGGGCCAAGGCCACTCCTCAGTCTGGGGGGCTCAGATACCCCAGATATGAGTCTGTCACTCCTCCACTCCCCAGCACACACACACTTCAAGAAATAAAAATCATTTCTTTTTCCTAATTTGATCTTGGTGGCTCAGAGCAGTGGGAAAGCAGGAATGCAGCTCTGGGCTTTTCACCCCCTGTTTAAGTCTCTTGGTCATGGTGACTTTGAAGATCATGAGAGAGCTCAGATGCTCAAAGCATCTCAACAGATTGCCTAGAAAGGGATCTGGTAGTTTGAGTTTGCATCAGAAAGTCTGTGGAGGCAGCAGGTAGAAAAAAATGGTCTCATTGTCCTTCCAGGAGAGTTAAAACTCACTGTCAGTGCTGTTGTAATGCTGCTGCCAATGAATTTTCCTCATAAATCTCCAGATAAAAGATTTCCTCGCAGTTGTCATTCAGTGTCCTTGGCACTGGTGTTCACTCACTCACTCCAAACCAACAGAGCTGTCACAGGCTGGGCTCAGGTGAGTGACCTCGGTGGCAACTCCCTTCCTAAACAACTAATTCCATGTCCTTTCTCACTCCTCTCCCTGCAGGAACTCACTATGGCACCAACTCAGGCAACATATGCACCACCCCTGGCTGTGTCACGGCAGGTAAGGGGGTCCCTGGGAGGGATTATTGCACAGGGGGTGTTTTATGTGTTGGTGCTGAACCTGAATAAAAGGTAATTCAGGCTTTAAGGCTGAAGTTGAAAAGGAATGAGATTTCCCCTTGGCCAAGGCGTATCATCCATAAGGAAGCAGTACAGGAAAATTGCCAGTGTGGCCAAGAGCCCTCTGGCCTGAGCCACAGGGACAGGGACTGGCCAACACTCTGTGCCTTGGGATGGGAAGAATCCCTTTAGAATGAATTTTCTCTGTGAGTGCATTCTATATGTGGGGCATTCACCCTCTTATTTTTGGCATCTACAGCTCAGGAGAGGTGAGACTCCAGCAGGGGTGTTCCCAATTCCCCCCTGGAACACTGGTTTCTTAGGCAGGTTCCTGAGCTGGAGCACAGGGGAGCCCTGGGCAGCACCCCATGCCTGCAGGGCACAGTGCTCTGGGAGGGCTATTCTGCCACTCAGAGGCTCCCAGGCATTTTTAAGCAGAAAATGGGATCCTTCAAGTCCCAATACATGGGAATGCCTCTTGCCAAGCAGCTCCTTGACAGGCTTTGGTAGTGCCAGAGATCACTGGGCAGCCTGTGGGGTTCAGCTCTCCAATTTTGGTCCCCAGCTGCCAGAATAATCCAGAACATGGACCCCGCAGCTGACCCGTGCCAGGATTTCTACCAGTACGCCTGTGGGGGCTGGCTGAGCAGGCATGTCATCCCAGAGACCAGCTCCAGGTACAGCATCTTCGACATCCTGAGGGACGAGCTGGAGATCATCCTGAAAGGTGGGAACGAGGCTACTCCATCCTCACACTCGTGTCTGGTGTCGGGGGTTATTGGCTACACATCACACAGAGAAATAACCCTGCAGAGAGAAGAGTGGAGTGTGATTTTTTTCTCTCTGGTCCTTTAATCTCTACATCTCTTACTGCCCCCATTTTGTAGGAACATCCTGTTCCCACTAAAAATTAGCCATAGGTGATTTGATATTAACTTCAAAAGGAGCAGGACGAGCCTGCACATCCTTCCTCCTGACACTTTTGCCATGAATAGCTCCTCTAAAGGGCTCTCCAGTCTCACAGTAATTGCAGGCTACAGAAACAAGTGTTTATCATAGCCCTGAATTCTCAGGGATTTCTGTGAAATGATCAAAGCTCTCCAGGGCACAAATCTCATGGCAATGGTTCCTTCCCCAGGTGTGCTGGAGACTTCAGATCAAGGGGACAGAGAGGCATTTCAGAAAGCCAAAATCCTTTACAAGTCATGCATGAATGAGAGTGAGTCTCTTCTTGTTCCACTGATTCCCAGGTTCCATACTGAGTGTACAGAAGCACCAATGTTCTGTTTAGCCCAGCCAATACCTGTCCAATCTGGGTGGACCTGCCTGGAAAGCTCATCTCCAGATGGGTGAAGGTGCCTGGGTGCATCACTAAGGCCTAATGTGCACATTTGGGACGGGGAAAGGATGGAGGTTGGGTACCTGCCCCTGGGGTGGAAGCCAAACCTTCCCTTCAGAATGCACAGACCTGTCCCAGTTCACCCTTCCCAAACCAGTCCAGTAAAAGTCAGCACTGGAGCCCCAGAAGTGTTTTCATTGCTTTTCTGAAGGCTGATGCAGGGGACGGGTGGTTTCACGGTGTCTCTCCTTTTGGACTGTGACAAATTCAGTTTCAGATTTAAACTGTCAGGCCCATTACCTGTTTTTCTGTGAAAACAACACAGCATTTGTCTTTCCTCTCTCAGGCCTTATAGAGCAACGAGATTCTTTGCCTCTGCTGGAGGCCTTAAGGATGGTTGGAGACTGGCCAGTGGCTTCTGCAGACTGGAATAAGACCAAAGGTAATGCTGGGCCTGAAAGGGTTCAATAATGTGCAGTCAGAATCATTTCCTGCACTAGGGAGGCCACTGTCACTGGATTAAATCCCCCATTTTCACTTTTTCTCCATCAACAAGAGTCAGGGGGTCACACATATTTAACACACACACACACACACATATATATATATAGAATTAGATCTAAACAATTTTAGCACAGCAAACTGCACAACTTCAATCAGTCCTGACACAGGTGGATAAATGGTGTTTGTTCTCCCTTTTATCCCCCAGAGCCAAGCTGGAGCATGGAAGAAAAACTGTCCATAATGAACTCCAGGTTTAACAAACGTGTCCTCATCGACATGTTCGTGTGGAACGACGACCGGGACTCCAGCAGGCACATCATCTATGTGAGCCAAAAACTACAGGGCATTATTTACATCCCAGAGTCACAGTGGAGACTTGTTCACACTGCAGACAGATGAGATTCCCACAGCACAGCACTGGCCAAATGCAGGGAACAGCCCTGTGCCCCAGGTGACAGACCTGTCTCAAAGAAATATTGGGAAAGGTTTTGTGGCAGCTTTTTTTATTTTTTTTTTTCAGTGAAAGAAATAAAAATCAATGGAACTTTGCTGATTTACAGCATTTAAGGGCTGTAAATTCTTGTGACTTACAAAATGATGGTGAGGTTTAACACGTAGCAGGAAACCATGGGTCTAAAATATGTAAATAATATTTCAGAGTTTGTTCATGCAGCAAGTCCAGCCCTCAAGTCAAGCAACTTAGAAAAGTTGCCCAAATCTATTCTTGGATCTCAATGGACTGAAAGATTTTGCTCAGTAACTCGCACTAAGATCCACCGTGTCCTTACCCAAAAATCCAGAGACCAAAGTTGTACCTTCCATCCCCCCCAGTCCTTGGAGAGCTGCAGTTCTCTGGCTGTTTGGCTGCAGTGTCATTCCAGCACTGGAAGGATGGAACAGCATCTCATGTTGCCTCTCAAGGATTCCTTTGGACAACCCCAGTTCCTGTTCATCACTAACCAGAGAAATGTGTTTTCCTTCAGATTGACCAGCCAAGCTTGGGAATGCCATCCAGGGATTACTACTTCAATGGGGGCAACTATCAAAGGGTGAGTGTTCCTTGTCATTTATTTACCATGTGCCACTAAAACAACTTCATTACTTATCCCTGCGCTTTGGAAAACTCAAATATATTAATCTTCAGGGTATGTAACAATCAGAGTTAGACTGTGACATTAATTGCTACGTTTTTTTCCTAATTATGCCAAAATTCTGTCACATTTACAAAAGGACTGAACAGCTGTATAAACATCAAGCCTCCCCAGAATTGGCCAACCATAAAGAATATTATGGGAAAACAAAATCATTAAACAGTCTCTAATTCTGAAGGACAGGGTTCACATTTTCAGTGCAGGTTGTCTTGGATTCCCTTCTATCTTCCTCTAAATCCACTGATACTCAGCTAGTAAGAATCTGCTGCCACCTACTCTCCCCTTTCCCCAGAATTACAGGAAAATTGTGAGAGATGATTTTCTAGCTGTTTTTCTCTGCCAATGCTCGGGGCAAAAGCACTGATTGTGCAAAAACTCTGTTTCTGTAAATACACAGAAAGCTGTTGCAAACAGAGCCAGATAATTTATCTGTTTCCAAGATGAAAATTCTGCTTTAGTACATTGTATTTCCCTCAATTATGTCATGCTAACAAAGAGTATTTGCAGCCCAACATCAAACCAATTTTCCTAACAAGAATGGAAGGGAAAACAGAGGGACAACAATCAGCATTTGAGACTCTTTTGTCTCGTGGTTGTAAGAGCAGATGAAAACATCAGTGGGAAGAGTTTGCTTCTTACTTCAGTGTATTTGACTATATTCTCACAGATAATATAGCTTAAATACAGCCCTGTGAGGTTTGCACAGGATTGTTTCTGCACCTTCTGGGCACCTTTACAAGCTGCCAGCTCCTGATCCAGAACAACCTCCTGGGAGCTGTGCTGGGAGCTGCTGGACCAGGAGTCTGCCCTGCAAGTGTCACCTGGACAGAGCAGTCACAGCAGGAAAGAGGGATATTGATGCACTGGTGCAGGAAGGTCAGACATAGATTGACTTGTAGGAGATAGAAAATCAGGTACAGTGCCGAGACCATCCCAGATTAGCAAAAGAAAACCATCTCTGCTCGATACAGCTTTAATTTGAAGCCATAAACCAGCGTGGGCAAGGCTGTGTCTTTAATTCTAATGACTAAGGAGGAGACACAACCCCTTTTTATTTGCTATTTACCAGCTCGCTGCCCCCAGACAATGACCCAACTCTGATGACCCAAACTCCCCCTGTGCTTTAGTCCAGCATCCTTTGGCAAAGCTCCTCCTGAGGCCTGGGGGAGTCTGGCCTGATTAAGGGCTCAGCCTAAAACCACAAATCATCGTTCTGTAAGTGCCCAGACACAACTCCACAACAGTTACTGTGTTTATCTGGTTTCCAAGGACTCTGGAGGAAGAAAAGTGTACAAGAAGAACAGGTGACTTTAAGTTTTCCTGCATCAGGGGTCAGTACTCCTTCAGCAGCCAAATATCTTTTCAAAGCCCTTTCTGGGGCATGAATCAGCCAGAACCTCCCACCAGAAATAAAGCAAAGGTATCACTGGAGCTGTTTGAGACGGAGCTTTTGTCTCAGACAGTGAAACCAGAGTTGAGAAGATTTATGGTATTGCTTTCAGAGGACTCAAACCTTCCACATTTACTCTGGGATTTTGGCTGGTGGGGATCACTGTTCCCACAGAGTAGCTCAATTCACGGAGCCTTCTCAGCAATTCTAACTCAGAGTGCCAGAGCTGCATTGCACAGGGAAGCAGGAAGTGTGTTTTGAGGCTGGTAACTGCCCTGCAGGGTATTCCAGGCTGAACTGAGCTCCAAGGTGTGGCAGTGATATCTACTACAGGAAAAAAAAACCCTCAATACTGTCCACACCCCCTGTGTCCTGTGTGCAGGTGAGAGAGGCTTATCTGCAGTTCATGATCACCGTGGCCAAAATGATCCGGGAGGACCAGAACGTGTCTAGAGACGACTCCTTTGTCCAAGAGGAGATGACAAAGGTGATGGAGCTTGAAACAGAGATTGCAAATGTGAGTACAGAGCTCCAGAGCTCGGGATGCCAGGGGGTGAGGGATGAGGGGGCAGATCTCTTGATGTTTGTGCAGCAGTTTCCAACCCAGCACGAAACCCACGGCCCAGAAAACAGGGGGAAGAAGAGTTTTTGTGCCATGAACAGTCCAGAAGTCAGTGTTCCTGTGTCTATAACTGTCTGCTGAGTACACTGCTGTGCTGCTCCAGTCCTAGCTGTGGTTATGTTTGGAACTCTTCTAAAGCAGGATAACCCATCTTCTGCTAAACACACACTGTGAGAACACCAGGGCTCGCTCCCTCGCGTCCTTAGGAATCTACAACCCCCTAAAAATATCCCAGAGCTTGCTCTGCCATTCTAGAGGGAACCACTTGGCTCAGCATGTCACTAAAATATTATTGAATAGCAGGGACCAGAGTTCCTGCACTGAAATTTAGAGAGCAGCACTGAACACCATCAAATGAGCTTCCTTTCTCCCCAGAAAAATGGTTTATTTGCATGTTATTTGAGTGTGCATTTGTGCACATGCATGTGATTTCAGCTATTGATATTTCTGCCAGTTGAGTCCAGTAATAACCTTGTGAATGTCTCCAGGCAACGACCCCAGCAGAGGAGAGGCACGATGTCACCTTGTTGTACAACAAAATGACCTTAACGGAGCTACAGGAAAAGTTTGCATTGAATGTAAGTGCCTAATGAGCAGCCTCATACTTTCAGTCTCTTAATTCCAATGGAAGTGGTTTTGTGAATTTGTCAGTGACTCAACAAAGAGGTATAAAATCAATCCCATTCTTAATCTTGTCTTCAGAGTCTCTTAAAAAGCTTCTTTCTGCTGAACAACACTACAGCTGCATTCAAGGCCATAAAACTGTAGAAAGTCCAGTTACTAAGGCACTTAAACACCCACCATTGGCATGTCTCTCTGTCTGCCTAGGAATTTAACTGGACCTTCTTCATCCAAGGTGTCATGTCTTCAGTAAGTGTCCAGGTTGACCCAGAGGAGGAGGTGGTTGTCTATGGCATGCCCTACCTGCAAGAGCTGAAGGCAATCATCTCCAAGTACTCAGCAAGGTAAAAAGCTGGAGAATATGCCATCAAAACTCACAGAAATATTGTGGATATGTCAATCATTGGACCCCCCTTTCTAGTTCTGCCAGAGCTTCTCCAAGGAAAATGACAGCCCTGTAAAATATGGGAAATGTCTTTGAAGGTCTTGGAGTCTCAGGGCACTTCAGTACCAAGTGTCTCACCTGCTGCTTGCTTAGAAAAGGTTAAATGGGAACCAAAAGTACATCATAGGCTTAGGTCTTCTTACATTCCAGAAGGAAAACCAATAGGAAATTAATCCCTGAGCACACAGGACAGTCCAGTCCTTGAGCTGGACAACCCCAGTGAAATGAGAACAGTCCCCTGCAGATGCCGTGAAACCCAGGACTGGCAGCAGTCATTTGCTTCCTTGTCTCCATCCAAAATTGAGATCCCCCTCTGGCTGGCTGCACTGGTGTTGGTTTTTGCAGGGGACTAAGCTCAGCTCTGCTTTCCCACAGCACCATCCAGAACTACCTCATCTGGCGCCTGGTGATCGACCGCGTCAGCAGCCTGAGCCGGCGCTTCAAGGACGCCCGGGCCAGCTACAGGAAGGTATTTCCTCCCTGCCTGGACAGCTGGGCTGGAGGAGAGCCCAACAGCTCCAGAGCAAGTCCTTGTCAACACAACCACGGCAGGGGGGTGGAACTAGATGAGCTCTGAGGTCCCTTCCAACCCAAACCATCCTGCGATGCCGCGGTTAAGTCACGTAATCCCCAAACAAACCCCGGGGTGGCAGTGGAAACCTTTGCCTTAGGCTAAGCTGCTGGTTAGGGGAGGATCTGGAGGTGCACAGGCAGGGCCAAAGCTGTGCTTGGTGCTGCAGGCTCTCTACGGGACGACGCTGGAGGAGGCGCGGTGGAGGGAGTGCGTGAGTTACGTCAACAACAACATGGAGAACGCGGTGGGAGCGATGTATGTCCGGGAGACTTTTGCTGGTGAGAGCAAGAGGATGGTATGTAGTTTACCCTTCGTACTACTGTACCTCCACTGTGCCCACAGAGCCCGTTCCCTCCCGGCTGAGCCCCCAAAATGTTTTGCCTGTGAAAGATCCCCCCAGGCCAAGAGTCGGAAGGAAGGAGAGCTCGGTTATGATCTCTTTGGAATGCTGAGCACTGTGGTTTAGAGCAGAGAATCTGGGGACATCAGGCTTCAGCAGGAAGCTTTTCACCCCTCCTTAGCTCTGCCTGGGGAGATGTAAACCATGTGAGTGATTCGTGTCTCACTGGTTCTCTTTTAGGTGCGAGATTTAATAGAGAAGATCCGCGAAGTGTTCGTGGAGACCTTGGATGAGTTACAGTGGATGGACGAGGCATCCAAGGAGAAAGCCAGGGAGAAGGTCAGAGATAACAGGGAACTTCAGGATTCCCTTATGAATATGAAATATTTTGAATTTTGTTGTATCTCTATTTCCAGTTCCTCTACAAAATGGAGGAAAATACTTCAATGTTCATTATTCCATTATCTTATCACATTGTCCTTTCCTTTTAATCCTTTGTTAGCCCCACATCAACTAGAATGGCAATTGGACACAATGCAATCCCCCAGGGAAAACATTCCATTGACTTTAGGACCATCAGCACCATTCCAATAGCAAGGGAAAAAAAAACAACTAAACTATTCTATTCAATAAAGTATTGACACTTCATAGAAAACCCACCACACACCAACAAAAACCACAATTAAGGGGAAACAGTAAATTCTTTTCTTCTAGGCAATGGCAATCAAAGAACAAATTGGCTATCCAGATTACATTTTGGAAGATCAGAATGACAAGTTGGATCAGGAATATGCCAATGTAAGTATTCTGTGCACACCTCAAGATAAAAGCCTCCACTTATTTTCTTGCCATTTGGAATTCTTATACCTGTACAACTGTCCTTTCCAAGGACATTAAAAAGAACATATTAATAAATAAATGCATGCAGGGAGCCAACTTTTGGTTGATACCATGCAATGAAAAAACATCTTACAGAGGATACATCCAGTGGTATGAGGAGTCCCTCTGTCTGCACAGCTTACTAATACACCTGGAGCTCTGTTTCTTTAGTTAAACTTCAGTGAACACAATTACTTTGAAAACATCCTGGAAAACCTGCGAGCTGGAGCCCAGAAGAGCTTGAAAAAACTTCGAGAGAGAGTTGACCAAGACATGTGAGTTCCCAGCCAGCATTTTACAGCCTCAGTCCAAGATCTGGATTAATGGGGAGGGTGTGTAGGTCGTGCTGTGGGCAGCTGAGAGTGCTTGGGGCTGAGGCAGTCAGGGAATTAAGCAGGTACCTCACTGACTCTGGCAGCAGCAATCCATCCCCTCCCTCAGAATCTCCAGTCCTTCCTCAAGATGTTTCACATTCAGAAATGGCACTGAAATACTTCACACGAGAGCAGTGCCAGACCTTTCTGACAGCCCAGCAAGGAGGGGAGGAGGGAAACAGTGTCATGGAAATTCTCCATCCCAGACAGTGTCAGGAAGAGGGGGTACCAGTCACCACCTTCCACACCAGTGTGGCTGCTCAGCATTCGAGGGGAAAAGCATCTCTCCCTTTACCTGGGAATTATTTTGGATGAGAGGTGCCCATAAACAGGCCAGCAGGTATTTCCTGGTGTCAGGATTTCTTTCCAGCTGTGCTCAATGCACCTTTCTTCCCTACATTAATCCTTTCCTTATACAATTTCCTTAGCGGGATTTTCCTTATCAGCAAATTATACTTCTTTATATATCCTTATATATATTCCTTATAATATATATATTCCTTATAATATATACCCTTACAAGGATTATATATCCATATATATATATATAATGCTTGTAGGGATTATACATCCATAAATATATTCCTTATATATATTTTGTATATACATATATAATCCATATAAGGATTATTTCCTTACCATCCTTTTCTATACAAACTTTTTAAACAATAATTAAATTAAAAGAATGACTAAAAAAAAATTAAAAATCACTACTCACTGTGTGCAATGTTTGTTTTTAGATGGATAATTGGAGCTGCAGTGGTCAATGCATTCTATTCCCCCAACAGGAACCAGATAGGTAGGTTTAAACAGCTTTAAACTGCTGCATGGAACTAATTCAGCATTTTTAGCCCCACAGCAGTGCAGCTCTGCATCCAGAGGCAAAGCCCTCAGCTGACACAGCAGTTGGGTGGGTTTTTGCAGAGCCGTGGGCACGACTGGCATCGAGTGCCCTTGGTGTCTGTAGGAATCCCTCCTGGGCATGTTTTACACCCCAGCTGTTGTTGGAACCAGCAGATGATTTCTAACGTTTCCTTAACCCAAATAAAGCAATAACACATCCATTAGTTCCCCTATAAAATGGCTCTTGCACACAAACTGCCTGTCTCCAAAAGACAGCTCCTAAACATTCTGTTCTTGACTCACTGCAGCAAACATTATGCACCAAATTAGGCTAAACTTAATGCAAATGATGCTTGGGCCTCAAACAGGGAGATACTGTAGCTGCAGATGTGCCAAATTAAACCTTTATTAACTTGTCATTTTCCATTTATCAAGAGAGAAACAATTTCACAGGAGGCATGAGCTTGTTTCTAATCATTTTATATTTGGTGTTCCTTCCTGACCCTTACACCAAGCAAACAAGCTGTCTGCCAAGGATGCAAAAATAAAGCCACCTTATGGCATCTCCCCCTCTCTCTCCCTCTTTGCAGTTTTTCCTGCTGGGATCCTCCAGCCCCCCTTCTTCAGCAAACACCAGCCCCAGGCCCTGAACTTCGGGGGCATCGGGATGGTCATCGGGCACGAGATCACCCACGGCTTCGACGACAACGGTGAGGGGAGACCTGGGAAATGGGATTATTTCAGCTCAAACTCCTGGGAAATGGGATTATTCCAGCTCAAACTCCTTCCCCTGTCGGGAATTACAGCGACAGACTGCTGGGCCTGCAGGTCCCTGCACACACAGTCACAGCCTGCCCGGGAGCAGTTCAGGGACACCAGGAACACCCCAGGGATGGCTCTGCAGGGAATGTTCCACGGGCAAAGCAGGGCACGCAGGAAACCAGATGCCAAAGATAAATTCAGGCAATGGCAATTCTCAGGAAAAACTGTTACTTTTACAGCATCATCAGATCAGAAACACAAAGCAAGCAGATACACAGGCTCCCAGAGTACAATGAAATCAGGGAATGATGTTCTTGGGGCAGAAGAGTTTTCAGTAGTGTCTTGAAATCCCGGGAGATTTTGTTTTTCAACACGAATGCTTGAAATAAATTGACTTTATTATCTTTCTTGAATGCCATGTAAAAATGTTTGGGGCAGAAACTCCCTTCTGATTCCATAAGTCAGTGGTTTTTTTACACGTGGGTTTTCTTCAAGTTGTTTTTTTTATAGTAATTAGTCTTGTGCAGATGACACATAAACACACAACACAGCCTCAGAAACTGAGTTCCAGAGCAGAGAAAACCCTTGCTCTAGACAGAGAGTTGAGAACACAAACCCCAGAACTGCAATTCCAGCTTTTAGTTCTCCATGAACCTCAGTTATGTCACATGGACACACAGAACAAGCACCTCAGTTACCTCAAAGGTGGGGGAAGTTTTGTTCCATGATGCATAATCCAGCTGGAAATAAAACCAGGCCTTAGTGGTTTAGCTGAAGTCAGGGCTGCTGACTGGACAGGAAATCATGGAATAACAGAAATCATAGCTGATCTTGTTCATTCCCTCATGACAAAGAGGATCTGCTGTGCCACAAACATTCCTGAGCATCCAAACCAAAGGAGGAAGGAGGGAGGGCCCAGCTCTGACATCCCAGGTGCTGCCCTGGAAGAACGGTGGTTCCAACATGCTCTCACCAAAAAATTTGCTTTTTAACTTGGATTTCCCTGCAGGAAGGAATTTTGATAAAGATGGGAACATGCTGGACTGGTGGAGCAACTTCTCAGCGCTGCACTTCAAGGAGCAGTCCCTGTGCATGGTGCACCAGTACGGGAACTACACCTGGGAGCTGGCGGGGGGGCAGAACGTGAGTAACAACCACCCCCTCTCCACAGGCTGGGAACAGGGAATCCCTACAGAGAACACCCCTAAACCCTACAGCTGGCTGTTCTGGGAAGAAGGCACAACAGCAGCCCAGCAATCCCAGGCTCTGTGTGCAGGGAGGTTCTGCCCAGCACCAGCCCAGCTCCTGTTGGTGGTACATTCATACAGATGGTCTCTAATCTGCAGCTTTTTCCCTGTGATTTTTTTAAATTTTTATCCTCTCTTTTCTTGCCCCAGCACAAAGCCATTGTTTGTCTGTGTTGTACGACTGTGCTTCAGCCTGTGGTTCTTGGAGTTGCTGATTTTACTGGCTGTGGAGTAAATAAATGATTGTTTTTCACAGGTCAGTGGCATCAGCACATTGGGAGAAAACATTGCAGATAACGGAGGAGTCCGACAGGCCTACAAGGTAACTCAAACACACTGTGAGTTAACCTTACCTGGCATCCAGCAGTGGGGTTACCCAATCTGTCCTAAAAAAAAATGACACTTAACATGTTATTACCACATGCAAAAAGCTAAAGCCTCAGTTATAAGTCTAGAAGCTTCTGTTCCCATGGATCCAATCAGAGTAGAACCTGCCATTCCTGGACCCAGGAGCAGCCCAAAGGTGGAGCTCGAGGGTGAGCAGGGAATGTTCTCCCCTACAAATAACCCTTACAGATGTCCTGGTGCAGCTTTTTTATCTCTGGTATTTTGAGTATGGCACCAGTTAAGGGTGCTCACAGCCCATCCTGGATTTTCAGAAATCTTAACTGACATTTCTGACCCTGAGGGACAGCATTCCAATCAGTGACTTTGTTAGAATTGTTTCAAAAGCCATTACAGGTGTGCAGGAGCAGAGTGGGATGACACAAACTGCCTGCTTACAGAATCCTGGGACGTTCTGTGGTGCTGGATCTATTTATACCCTCAGCTCTCCCTTTTGTTTCGTGTGCTTTGGGACTATCTCAGCAACAGAGAGGCTGCAGAAACAGAACACTGGGAATTAACCAGCGTGAGGACACATTAACTTGTCTCCATCATGTCAATATAGCTAAAAAAGGCAAATTGGCCAATTAATGTGTAACAATAAGAGGTAATGGATTTAACATTGAGCAAGGTTGATATCTGCTATTTTATGAGCAGTTACCTGAAGAGAGAAAAGTCATCACTCTAGAGCTGTGGAGGAGACTTAACACTTTATTTCCAGATACAAATTCCTGTGGAAAGAGTCAATGAAGTCAACAGAGCTTATGCTGACAGCTTTGTCATAAAATTCTCTGTACTATTTGTATTAGAGAGAGAAAACCCACAGAAGTACAGAAGGGAAACATGTTGGGTTCATTCATATTGTGGCTAAAGCCTCCCACCCCAATAAAACATTCAATATCCCACTCCTGCTGCTCCTCTCAGCTGGATTTATGGTCTTTTCCAGGCCTATTTGAAGTGGCTGGAACGGGAAGGGAAGGAGCCAAAGCTTCCTGGACTGAACCTGTCCCACAAACAGCTTTTCTTCCTCAATTTTGCCCAGGTAAGAACAGTCAGGGTGGTGCCCCAGGCTCTCAGACTTCGGTTCATGTGAGGAAGGAAACACCTGGTGAAACCACCTGCTGATAGATTGATCCCAAAGCATGAGATCTTGATCTGAGACCTTGTAAAACAAAAACTAATTAATAATACTTGTATCTATTCTGCCTCTCTATAAAACATACTCCAGTGATATCATAACAAACTGGGATGGCTCTTAGGAAAACTTTGAAAACCAGTGAGAATGTTCCCAAAATGAACTCCCTGAAACCCTGACCCACTGATTATCAATGCTCCCTGTCCAGGTTTGGTGTGGCTCCTACAGACCAGAATATGCCAGCCAGTCCATAAAGACAGATGTGCACAGCCCTCTGAAGTACAGGTGGGTTTTACTGACTCCTAACTCGCTTCATTCACCCCCTTGCACCAAGACAGCCCAGAAGGAGAGTTTTATAACACACTGGATAAATCCAGACTAGCTTTCAGGATTTCTGCCATGACTGGAGAGCACATGCACTGGGCCTCCATGTTAACAAGTGTCTTCCCTTTGTTTAGGGTGATGGGATCCTTGCAGAACTTCGAAGCCTTCTCCGAGGTGTTCCACTGTAAGCAGGGCACAGCCATGCACCCCGCAGGGAAGTGCCGGGTGTGGTAACCCAGGGACAGGGAGGGTGACCCCTCCGGGGCCACCACACACGGCTCGGGGCAGGGACGTGCCTGGTGTTCTCCTGCTCAGTCCCAGCCAGGGCTGACGGGGCAGCTGCTGGAGTGGGAACCCTGGCCCCACGGCACTGAGCTGTCCCAGTCCCCCGGGCAGCACACGGGGATCGCAGGGAGCCGGGGCTGGGCCGGAGCCCACGGGGTGTTCCCGGCAGAGCGACTGTTTCCAACGACATCCCGACTGTTATCAAGACACTGCATCAGGGCTACAAGGACTAATGCTTAAGGGAAAACAAAACCAACAAACAGCCACAAGTCTATTTTTCAGAAAGGAACAATAATTTTAATATGCCAGCTCCGCCTTCTGAGGCTCAGCAAACCTGTCTGAGGCGTTTCACTGATCCGTTCCCAGTGTTCTGATCCGCTTTCTGGTGCATTCTTCCCCAAATCAGGTTAGAGCTGCTGTAAACTCTGCTGTGTGTACCCCTGCACTTTGCTTTGCTGTCAGAGATCGCTATTTGTCGTGACATGTCACGCAGTGAGCCCTGTGTCGAGATACCTGTTGCACTCTCCTCCTACACTCGAGTTCCTCTGCTCCAAAGAACAACCTTCAAGTGACATATCACTGGAATTATCACATTTTAGGAGTACAAATTCTGTCTTCATGGTTAAATTACAGGGTCCCACCCTTCAGAGATATATTTAAAATTATGCTTATTCTTGTAGAAAGTGTATAAAATACCTTTTGCCAAATAGCAAAACATGTATCCATGGAAACAATTAAGCTGGTTTTAATCCTGTGCCTTTTTGTTTTGCCATAGGCTATTTTTCAGTATTTACACTTGAAAATGTAACATGCATTAATTTTTAATAAAATTTAAAAGAAAAAAAATCACAGTGGCCAATTCAGCGAGGATTTCCCTACGGAGAGGGTTGGGTGGCTTTCCTTGGTAAACATCCTACCATAATGAGAATATTTTAAACTTTCAACACTTCACAGTGAATTTTAAATACTCTTTCAGCAAATGCTTTTCTTTCTAGCACAGAAATCCCTGGAAAGCAAGGCAGTAACTGCTTGTGTGAAGTCATGGTGGGATTCCTGGGGTGTCCTGTGCAGGGCCACGGGTTGGACATGATGGTCCTTGTGGGTCCCTTCCAGGTCAGGATATTCCGTGTTTCTAATGCTTACAAAGTGCTAAATCATACTATTCCTTTGCTTCCCTGATCTCAGCACCCCACTGGCAAAAGGTTTGATCCTGTAAAGTCAGATTGGCACAGAACCCCCCTCTAAAAGTCCGAGTTGTTGTGCATCGTTACCATGTTCATATGCCAGGTTTGGCCTTGGGAATTGCCTTCTTCACATTTGTTCACTCAAGTCTCAGCAGAGGGACTGAGAAACTGCTCAACCCTGGACTGAGGAGGGGTCACTGTCCCTCAGGAGGGAACTGGGGCGAGGGACAGCAGTGTGTGTGTGCCAGGCACAGGAAGGGGCTCAGAGCCCTGGGGGCTCAGGGGCAGGAGGTCACAGGGCCAGTGTCCTGACTGCAGAATCATTCAGCTCTGGAGACAGGCCACTGGGGTTCTGGCACATCACCTGGTAAAGGATAATTAACATGTGCCTGGAAGGGTTTATTCCAAGTGATCATCACAGCACATGGAAGTTTCTTCTTTTTTTCATCTGAGTTTATCCCACCTCCCACCTGCAGAAGGCTCTTCCCAGCTGTCACTTTGTGTCAGCGCCAAGTGCACAGAACTCCAACCTCCCCTCACAGCCCCAGCCTCCCCTCACAGCCCCAGCCTCCCCTCACAGCCCCAGCCTCCCCTCACAGCCCCCCTCCTCCGCTGTTGTACCCCCCCTGCACTCCCACTCCCCTCCCCATCACAGCCCCACCTCCCAGCAGCCGCTGATGACCGCGGTGAACCAGGACTGGAGAGAGGAGACAGGCTCCAAATGCCCAGGAAAGGGTACTGAACTACTCTTGACCACTGCATTACTTTTCCACAGTCATAAAACATTTCAGCCTAGTGGGAAATCCTGTACTCAGAAGTGTTTCGCTGCATTTTAGACTTGTGGGCAATTAGGCATCAGGGAAGCTTTATTACATCCTTAGGAAAAGGAGGACGATCCAGGTGGTTGCCAGAGTGAGGAACATCAAGCCTTTCCTTCTCCCATGCTGCCACCTGGCGACAAACCCGGCTTCCAAAACACACCAAAAGACACATCCAACAGGAGCAGTTTTTTTGCTTTGGAGCAATTGCTGCCTCAACACTAATAAGTCCCTCCTCCTAATGACAAACTTACTGAACAACAGCAATATTGAACTCCTTTCCCTCCTCAAGATCTTCACCTGTTTTCACAGCTGTTTATTTACCTCAGTAAATTTATTATCACTTTATTAACAATTCAGAAACGACACAGTCTGTAAAAGCCACAGGTCACAGAGGTGCAGGTGCAGCAGCAGGATGACAAAGAGGGCCTTCAGCAACAAGATAAGTCATTAGACAATTAAAAAAAACCTAAAACACAACTTAGCAGAAGATTGGTTGTAGTACAGAAATGGCTGAAGGTGCCCTGTCATTGTTCTCTAAACTTTCTCCACTTGGGGATGTGGTTTTATCTCGAAAGTTTGCTCAAAAAGCTTTTTTATTTACAATGGACCCTTCATGCACAGGCATTGCAGAGACACAAGAAGGAGTTAACAATTACCAGTTTCTACAGTTGGAAATGTTGGAAAATATCCAAAGTTAATGAAACATTAACCAGCTACTAAAGAACTTACCAAAGAGAAAAAAGGTCAGGAAAAAAGATTTGTACTTTCACAGTTCCTCTCTTTACTGATCATTATGACACAGTCAGACCAGCCACAAAACAGCAAACACAAAACCAGTGGTGGATTTGCTGGGTGCTCCTGGAGTTTTCAGAAGGAAATGTCAGAACTCTCTTCTTGACTTGTCTCTTATTTGACCACCAAAAGGAAAACCAGTTCTCAGCAGACACGAAAGAATTTCTAAACTGACTTTCCCTTCACAAAGTTTTAGGAAAAAAGGGTTTGTGCTTGGTTGTTTTTAATCATCCCCATTGTCTGTCATGGGTCAAACAAGACTCTCTGATTCAGGCTTGGTTTCTTCAAGGTCAGCACCAACTTCTTGCACAGGAACAGTTGCTTGAGTCCCTTTCTCCTCCATGGACCTCAAAGCCTGACCACGCTGTTAAAGCTTTGAGACACATCAGAGGAAAACACAGAATATGAACAGTCAGGTTTTAGCAGCTTCTATCAGCAATTCCTGCTCCTTCCACTACTACCACACAGACCTGGGCTTATTCCTTAAGGCCAAGAGACACTGCTGGGCCCCTCTCAAATCACACTTCCACACATTCCCCACAAAGAGAAAGCAAGGACACACATACTCACCTCGGACTCCTGCACCGCTGCAAAGGAAAGCAAATAGTCCCATCAACAAGCAGGAAGGGCAACTTCCTACTAATGCCCTTTCCTACCCACGCTGTGCCAGGCAGGGGGGCAGCACTGAGGGTCACTCTGGGCACAGGCACAGCCCCATGGGAGGCCCCTCACACCGGTGAACTGTGACACAGACACACTGCAGCTGCCTCACAGCCTCCTCTGACTGGCTGCTCAGTTTTCAGCTGAACATCCAAGACCCTTCTTCAGAGTAATGGTACAAAACTACCCCTGCACAGTCACACTCTTTGTACTTACGTGGCACACGACTTCTCATTTTCCTTCGAAGCCCTTGACAGGCTTCCATGAAGGCAGCTGCAGCAGTCAACACCACCATAACACAGACAAGGATTGCTGTGAATATGAGTAGGTCCTGCTTCTTACGTCTGATGTGAGGAAAGAAATAATTGTGATGATACAACCCGCCAGCAGACCCTGCTCTGGAACTGCTGCCCTGGTTTTAACATCACACCTCCACAGCCAGCACCATTCCCAAGGCTCTTGCTGATTTGCTGGCTAATCCAGCTGGCACCTGACTCTTACCTCTTTGCTTCAATGCCTCTAACTGCAAAAGGATTCTCCTCAGAAGCAAACTCTCACCTCTTCTACTCTAGCTAAGGGATGTGCCAGCTGAAACCCAGGTACCAGGAGGCTGCTGCTCTCCATGGCTGCAGATCCAGCTCTGCTAGACCTGCCCAAGAGGCTCCCCTGCACTGACAAGTTCAGATCAGAGCCTGAAACCTGTCATGGTAAGGAGTCTATAAAGACAGGAGTTCAGCTGTTCCCAACAAAGAGTGAGACACAGGAACAGGGTTCCACACTGGCCGCCTTACTGCAAGGAGGACACTGCTGTTTGGAATACACCCAAATGCAGAGCCAGCTGTTAGAAAACAGCCACTCACCCACAAGGAGTCACAGCTGCTTACTTGGGCCCTGGTGTGCAGGCCACAGACATGTTGGCTGTGGAAGTGGTGCCAGGAGGACAGACTTCACACACATGGTCCTTGGTGGCTGTACCTAGAAGGAAGAAGCCCCCAGGATTTCCCCCTCAGCCTCTGCCTAAGGACAGCTCAGTTCAGCATGGCCTTTGGAAGTGACCCAGCCTTTACTGCAGAGACCCTTCCCCACACACAACAGCTCACACCCTTCTGCCTTTGCACACCACCAAAAAGCACAAAGGGCTCTTGGCCACAGCACACCACACTCCAAAGGCATTCCCTAGGGAAGCTCTGCTGCTGGTGGCACTGACGCCCTGCTGGCTTACCCCATTCTTTGACCATAGTGCCAGGCACACAGACAGTGTAGGGCTGGCACACCGCACAGACTTCAGGCCCAGGGGAGCTGCAGAAGTGCCCTGGCCGACAGCCACATGCTGCACTCTTCGTGTAGGTACACGCTGCTGCTGTCACCGGGTTGGCCCCTGAGAGAAATCCACACACACAGAGCCACAGCAAAAGACAACATTTAGCCTTGTCCTGATGCACTGCTGAAGAGCACCAGAGCTCTGGATGTGTACATCCTACAGACTCTGCTGATTGTTACGGCCACTCCGGAGGCTCCCAAGGAAGGGACAGGGCCCGGCACTGGGTGAGGGCTCAGTGCTGGCTGCAGAGGACACCCTGGGGTGACACTCACAGCCATGGGCTGCCTGGTTCTTGTCAGGGCACAGTGGGCACGGCAGCGGTGGCGGGTCCCCATGGCCACTGTCCACTGAGGTGGATCACCTCATAGCCACTGCCCATGGCCACTGGCATAGGTCACCCGATGGCCCCTGAGGCAGAGGGAGCCACCCCAAGAGGAGGTGCTGAGCAGACGATGCAGACAGAGCAGAAAGAGCACACACAGCAGGCAGGGCAGGCAGGGAAGACAAGGCAGACAGCCTGGTACATACCCACAGCACACGTGGGGCAGCACTCGGTGCCATTGGGGTACTCGCCCGGCTCACAGCCCGCGGCATCCGAGCGCTCCAGCTGCGTGACCAGCACCATGGTGAGGACCTCGGGGCAACACAAGGACCAAGTTATCCCTCGAGAACTGGGTTCTGCCTCTGGGCCACAGAGCCTGTTCCCTCATGGCCACCAAGGCTGTTCCCTCATGGCCACCAAGGCAGTTCCCTCATGGCCCCACTCACCAGACAGAGAGGGCCCTGCTCAAGCTGCTGCCGCCATCTCAGAGGCCTCCCCGCAGCCCGCGGCTGCTGCCACATGTGGGACAGGGTGGGATGGGCTCTGGCCCCACCTGATGCCCAAGGGAAAGGAACTGACTTGCAGGAAGGGCAGGGCAGGGCACCTGTGCCTCCAGTCCTCTCAGGGGGCCCGTAACGGTCACACCATTCCCTGCTCTCCTGGCCCGCTACCGCAGGGAAGGCTTTGGCAGGGCCTAGGCCCAAAGGCAGAAAAATACTGAAACTGCGACAAAGCAACCCCTCCAAACCTGGTAAACCCCTCAGACAAACCTCCTGGCAAACAAGACAGCCTCTCAAATCATGGAACAAACCCCCAAAACCTGGCATACCAAACCCTCAAAGCCCACTTCAGGGGCCACCTTTGTCTCTATCCACAAAATCCTGCTCACACACACACACCCCCAGGACTAACCAGCAAACACCCCATTGCTGAAGGAAGATGGCAGGGAGGCCTCACTGGCACTACCTGACCCAAAACCAAGCGCCCCAGCCCACCGGGACTGCTCACAGCTCCTCCTGTCCTCCCAGCACTGCCACTGCTTCACCCAGTTGCGCTCAGACCCCCCAGCAGATGTTTGGGTTACCAAAAGCACAGGCAGCAATGAAACCCAGCTGCTGCCAGGATTATTCAAACCCTCCTTGGTGGGCCCACGCTCCTCTGACAAAGGACAACTGCTGCTCACGTGACAGGAAGGTCTGAGTTTGCCTCTTCTTGCCCTGGGACGGGTTTGACGAGTCCAAATTCGTTGGTATTGGAGAGAAGGGATTCTCATTAGTAAAAACTTTATTCAAAAACACAGTGGTCACATAGGATATTAACTTTCTTTATTAAAACTGATATGCGCCATGTTGTGCACAATTCCTTTTCTCAGCAATATCTTCTTCACTCCTAAAAAGGAAAAATCTTTTCCAAATACATTTAGAAACTCTGTTATGTATGAGTTATGTGGAGTGATTAAAATGGAAAAACCCCCACTTTTCCCTAACAACAAGCAATAAAGGAATAATCAGTGTGTAGCAAGTGTCGGCTGTCCACAGGGGAAGGAAAGATGACAGTCATTCATGCAGATGTAGAAAAAATGTACAGTCCTTGGTTGTTTTTAACCATCCCCATTGTCTACCATGGGTCAAACAAGACTCTCCGATTCAGGCTTGGTTTCTTCAGGGTCAGCACCGACTTCCTGCACAGGAACAGTTGTTTGAGCCCCTTTCTCCTCCATGGACCTCAAAGCCTGACCACGCTGTTCATGCTTTAGGACATGTCAGAGGAAAACACAGAGTATGAACAGTCAGGTTTTAGCAGCTTTTATCAACAATTCCTGCTCCTTCCACTACTACCACACAGACCTGGGCTTATTCCTTAAGGCCAAGAGCCACTGCTGGGCCCCTCTCAAATCACACTTCCACACATTCCCCACAAAGAGAAAGCAAGGACACACATACTCACCTCGGACTCCTGCACCGCTGCAAAGGAAAGCAAATAGTCCCATCAACAAGCAGGAAGGGCAACTTCCTACTAATGCCCTTTCCTACCCACGCTGTGCCAGGCAGGGGGGCAGCACTGAGGGTCACTCTGGGCACAGGCACAGCCCCATGGGAGGCCCCTCACACCGGTGAACTGTGACACAGACACACTGCAGCTGCCTCACAGCCTCCTCTGACTGGCTGCTCAGTTTTCAGCTGAACATCCAAGACCCTTCTTCAGAGTAATGGTACAAAACTACCCCTGCACAGTCACACTCCTTGTACTTACATGGTACACGACTTCTCATTTTCCTCCTCTGACAGGTATGTGTGATGGCAGCTACAACAGCCACCACGATCACAACAGAGACAAGGATTGCTATGACTGCTGGCTCAGGTAGAGCTGGGGAAGGGTCCTGCTCCTTAAGTCTGATGTGAGGAAAGAAATAAGATACATCCTGCCAGCAGACCCTGCTCTGGAACTGCTGCCCTGGTTTTAACATCACACCTCCACAGCCAGCACCATTCCCAAGGCTCTTGCTGACTTGCTGGCTAATCCAGCTGGCACCTGACTCTTACCTCTTTGCTTCAATGCCTCTAACTGCAAAAGGATTCTCCTCAGAAGCAAACTCTCACCTCTTCTACTCTAGCTAAGGGATGTACCAGCTGAAACCTGGCTACCAGGAGGCTGCTGCTCTCCATGGCTGCAGATCCAGCTCTGCTAGACCTGCCCAAGGGGCTCCCCTGCACTGACAAGTTCAGATCAGAGCCTGAAACCTGTCATGGTAAGGAGTCTATAAAGACAGGAGTTAAGCTGTTCCCAACAAAGAGTGAGACACAGGAACAGGGTTCCACACTGGCCGCCTTACTGCAAGGAGGACACTGCTGTTTGGAATACACCCAAATGCAGAGCCAGCTGTTAGAAAACAGCCACTCACCCACAAGGAGTCACAGTTGCTTACCTGGGCCATTGTGTGCAGGCCACAGACATGTTGGCTGTGGAGTTGGTGCCAGGAGGACAGACTTCACACACGTGGTCCTTGGTGGCTGTACCTAGAAGGAAGAAGCCCCCAGGATTTCCCCCTCAGCCTCTGCCTAAGGACAGTTCAGTTCAGCATGGCCTTTGGAAGTGACCCAGCCATTACTGCAGAGACCCTTCCCCACACACAACAGCTCACACCCTTCTGCCTTTGCACACCACCAAAAAGCACAAAGGGCTCTTGGCCACAGCACACCACACTCCAAAGGCATTCCCTAGGGAAGCTCTGCTGCTGGTGGCACTGATGCCCTGCTGGCTTACCCCATTCTTTGACCATAGTGCCAGGCACACAGACAGTGTAGGGCTGGCACACCGCACAGACTTCAGGCCCAGGGGAGCTGCAGAAGTGCCCTGGCCGACAGCCACACACCGTGTTCTTCGTGTAGGTACACGCTGCTGCTGTCACCAGGTTGGCCCCTGAGAGAAATCCACACACACAGAGCCACGGCAAAAGACAACATTTAGCCTTGTCCTGATGCACTGCTGAAGAGCCACCCCAAGCTGAGGTGGTGAGCAGAGAGAGCAGGCAGTGCAGGCAGGGCAGGCAGGGAAGACAGGCAGACAGCCTGGTACATACCCACAGCACACGTGGGACAGCACTCAGTGCCATTGCGGTACTTGCCCATCTCACAGCCCGTGGTGTCCGAGCGCTCCAGCTGCATGACCAGCACCATGGTGAGGACCTCGGGGCAACACAAGGACCAGCTTATCCCTCAAGAACCAGGTTTTGCCTCCAGGCCACCGAGGCTGTTCCCTCATGGCCCCACTCACCAGACAGAGAGGGCCCTGCCCAAGCTGCTGCCGCCATCTCAGAGGCCTCCCCGCGGCCCGCGGCTGCTGCCACATGTGGGACAGGGTGGGACGGGCTCTGGCCCCACCTGATGCCCAAGAGAAAGGAACTGACTTGCAGGAAGGGCAGGGCAGGGCACCTGTGCCTCCAGTCCTCTCAGGGGGCCCGTAACGGTCACACCATTCCCTGCTCTCCTGGCCCGCTACCGCAGGGAAGGCTTTGGCAGGGCCTAGGCCCAAAGGCAGGAAAATACTGAAACTGCGACAAAGCAACCCCTCCAAACCTGGCAAACAAACCAGGCCCTCAAATCATGGAACAAACCCCCAAAACCTGGCATACCAAACCCTCAAAGCCTACTTCAGGGGCCACCTTTGTCTCTATCCACAAAATCCTGCTCACACACACACCCCCCCAGGACTAACCAGCAAACACCCCATTGCTGAAGGAAGATGGCAGGGAGGCCTCACTGGCACTACCTGACCCAAAACCAAGCGCCCCAGCCCACCGGGACTGCTCACAGCTCCTCCTGTCCTCCCAGCACTGCCACTGCTTCACCCAGTTGCGCTCAGACCCCCCAGCAGATGTTTGGGTTACCAAAAGCACAGGCAGCAATGAAACCCAGCTGCTGCCAGGATTATTCAAACCCTCCTTGGTGGGCCCACGCTCCTCTGACAAAGGACAACTGCTGCTCACGTGACAGGAAGGTCTGAGTTTGCCTCTTCTTGCCCTGGGACGGGTTTGACGAGTCCAAATTCGTTGGTATTGGAGAGAAGGGGTTCTCATTAGTAAAAACTTTATTCAAAAACACAGTGGTCACATAGGATATTAACTTTCTTTATTAAAACTTATATGCGCCATGTTGTGCCCAATTCCTTTTCCCAGCTAAAAAACAAAAGTGTGGACAAAATGCTTTTGAAAACTCTGTTATGTATGAAGCAAGCTTAAAAGGGAAAAAAAAGCCATTTCCCCCCCCAAAAAAATAATAGAATAGAATATTCCCCCAACAATAGAATAATTAATATGTACCAAGTTTCAGCTGTCCATGGGGGAAGAAAAAGGGAACTGCAGGCATTCCACACAGCCCATTGCTCCGTGAAGGGGATGGAAAAGGGAAGAGATGTCCAGTCACTCATGACACTCCCTTGATCACTCAGCTTGTACAGGCCTTGATGTTTCACAAGATGCCACTTGGGATATTTCATGACCTCCTTTGCAAACTTGCCTTTTCATTTCTAACCTGACTTTTCCTTCACAGAGTTTCAGAAAAAAAGAGTTTGTGCTTGGTTGTTTTTAACCATCCCCATTGTCTGCCATGGGTCAAACAAGACTCTCCGATTCAGGCTTGGTTTCTTCAGGGTCAGCACCGACTTCCTGCACAGGAACAGTTGTTTGAGCCCCTTTCTCCTCCATGGACCTCAAAGCCTGACCACGCTGTTCATGCTTTAGGACATGTCAGAGGAAAACACAGAGTATGAACAGTCAGGTTTTAGCAGCTTTTATCAACAATTCCTGCTCCTTCCACTACTACCACACAGACCTGGGCTTATTCCTTAAGGCCAAGAGCCACTGCTGGGCCCCTCTCAAATCACACTTCCACACATTCCCCACAAAGAGAAAGCAAGGACACACATACTCACCTCGGACTCCTGCACCGCTGCAAAGGAAAGCAAATAGTCCCATCAACAAGCAGGAAGGGCAACTTCCTACTAATGCCCTTTCCTACCCACGCTGTGCCAGGCAGGGGGGCAGCACTGAGGGTCACTCTGGGCACAGGCACAGCCCCATGGGAGGCCCCTCACACCGGTGAACTGTGACACAGACACACTGCAGCTGCCTCACAGCCTCCTCTGACTGGCTGCTCAGTTTTCAGCTGAACATCCAAGACCCTTCTTCAGAGTAATGGTACAAAACTACCCCTGCACAGTCACACTCTTTGTACTTACGTGGCGCGTAACTTTTCCTTTTCCTCCTTTGCCAGTTATATGCGAGAGCAGCTGCACCAGCCACCACAATCACAACAACAAGGACAACGATTGCTATGATTGCTGGGTAAGAGTCCTGCTCCTTAAGTCTGATGTGAGGAAAGAAATAATTGTGATGATACAACCCGCCAGCAGACCCTGCTCTGGAACTGCTGCCCTGGTTTTAACATCACACCTCCACAGCCAGCACCATTCCCAAGGCTCTTGCTGACTTGCTGGCTAATCCAGCTGGCACCTGACTCTTACCTCTTTGCTTCAATGCCTCTAACTGCAAAAGGATTCTCCTCAGAAGCTAACTCTCACCTCTTCTACTCTAGCTAAGGGATGTGCCAGCTGAAACCTGGCTACCAGGAGGCTGCTGCTCTCCATGGCTGCAGATCCAGCTCTGCTAGACCTGCCCAAGGGGCTCCCCTGCACTGACAAGTTCAGATCAGAGCCTGAAACCTGTCATGGTAAGGAGTCTATAAAGACAGGAGTTGAGCTGTTCCCAACAAAGAGTGAGACACAGGAACAGGGTTCCACACTGGTCGCCTTACTGCAAGGAGGACACTGCTGTTTGGAATACACCCAAATGCAGAGCCAGCTGTTAGAAAACAGCCACTCACCCACAAGGAGTCACAGCTGCTTACCTGGGCCATTGTGTGCAGGCCACAGACATGTTGGCTGTGGAGTTGGTGCCAGGAGGACAGACTTCACACACGTGGTCCTTGGTGGCTGTACCTAGAAGGAAGAAGCCCCCAGGATTTCCCCCTCAGCCTCTGCCTAAGGACAGTTCAGTTCAGCATGGCCTTTGGAAGTGACCCAGCCATTACTGCAGAGACCCTTCCCCACACAACAGCTCACACCCTTCTGCCTTTGCACACCACCAAAAAGCACAAAGGGCTCTTGGCCACAGCACACCACACTCCAAAGGCATTCCCTAGGGAAGCTCTGCTGCTGGTGGCACTGACGCCCTGCTGGCTTACCCCATTCTTTGACCATAGTGCCAGGCACACAGACAGTGTAGGGCTGGCACAGCTCACAGCCTTCAGGCCCAGAGGAGGTGCAGAAGTGCCCTGGCCGACAGCCACACACCGTGTTCTTCGTGTAGGTACACGCTGCTGCTGTCACCAGGTTGGCCCCTGAGAGAAATCCACACACACAGAGCCACGGCGTTGACACAGGGAAACACAACCCAAAGCAAACGACAACATTTAGCCTTGTCCTGATGCGCTGCTGAAGAGCACCTGAACTCTGGATGTGGAAAGAGGCCCTGTTCCTCACTGAGGCAGCACCTTGGCTCACATTTACATCTGTCATAAATGTTGCACAGCAAAAGCAAAATACTCCCAGCTCAGATGTTTTTGAATTAGCTGTCCTAGTGAAGTTCTTCCAGGCCTACCTTATCCCAGTACTCTAAGACACCTCACTATAATCTAGAGAGGCTATAATCTAAGAGAAAGGCTGCAGATCAAACTTCCAGTGGTGCCAGCTGAAGCTCCCTGTCAGTTTTTCCCTTCCATCCCACAGCTCACAGCATTCCCATGTCTGCAGAGTGACATGAGCCTGTTCTTCACACTGACTGATTTGTCAAGCAAATGAGGCAAGAAAGGAGAAGGGAGAATGTATCCATGGAAAGACATGAAAAATCCATTTAAACTAGTTCTTGAGCATCCTCCTTACCTTCATCACACAGTTTGCATGTCCTGCAGCGTGTTAAACCATTGGGGTGATCTGTGTAGGTCCCCTCCACACAAGGTATGCACGTTGTGCTGGATCTGGCAGTGCAGTGCTTGAAAACCCGCCATCCTAAAAACCATAAACCATCCCCAAAGAAGCAGCTCCATTAGCAAAGCTCACATGGCCAGGGACCGACACTGGCACCCAACCACACCAAAATACTACAGACGAACTATTAAGGACCTCAGAAATATCCTAAGAGCGAGGACATAACCCAAAACAGAAACTGGGGCACAAAATGAAGGTCCTTGGAAACTGTGACTTTACCAACCACCCCAGCAGAGATTATTGATTGTTACGGCCACTCCGGAGGCTCCCAAGGAAGGGACAGGGCCCGGCACTGGGTGAGGGCTCAGTGTTGGCTGCAGAGGATACCCTGGGGTGACGCTCACAGCCATGGGCTGCCTGGTTCCTGTCAGAGCACAGCGGGCACGGCAGCGGTGGCGGGTCCCCATGGCCACTGTCCACTGAGGTGGGTCACCTCATAGCCACTGCCCGTTGAGGTGGGTGCCCATGGCCACAGAGGTGGGGCAGGTCATGGCCAGTGCCCACTGATGTAGGTCAGTCCGTGGTCCCTGAGGCAGAGGGAGCCACCCCAAGCCGAGGTGCTGAGCAGACAGAGCAGGCAGGGCAGGCAGCCCGGTACGTACCCGCAGCACACATGGGGCAGCACTCGGTGCCATTGGGGTACTCGCCCGGCTCACAGCCCGCGGCATCCGAGCGCTCCAGCTGCGTGACCAGCACCATGGCGAGGACCTCGGGGCAACACAAGGATATCCCCGGTTACCCCCCGAGAACCGGGGCCGCCCGGCCGGTGTGAGGCGGCTCCCCCGGGGTCACCCCCGGCCCGCGGGCGGTTCCCGGCGGGTGTCCCCGGACCCCTCACCAGCCTCATGGTGTCCCGGCCGGGGTCCCGCTCCCGCAGCCGCCACCGCCGGGGCCCGCGGCCGCTGCCCCATGCGGGACGGGACCGTCCCCGAAGGCAGCCCGGAGAAATCGAAAGCGAAAGGTTGACATGAAGCGAGCGGAAGAGGCGAAGCCGCCGCCCCCTCGTGTCGCCCATGACGGTGGCATCGCGGGTACCGCAGGGAGGGAGCAGGACCGAAAGTCAGTTTAATACCTCCAGTTGGGACAGAACCTGCAGCAAGCCCCTCAAATCGTGGCAAACCAACCCCTGAAAACCTGGCACAAACACTTCAAAAGCTGGCAAACAAACCCAGCCCTCAAAGCCTGGAGCAAACCCCTCAAATCCTGGCACACAAACTTCTTAAAACCTGGAACAAACCCCTCAAATCCTGGCACACAACCCCCCTAAAACCTGGAACAAAACCCTCGAGTTGTGGTACAAACCCCTCAAACCCCGGAAAACCAACCCCTCAAACCCTGAAACGAGCCCCTCAAATCGTGGCAAACAACCCCTCAAAACCCAGCTTAGGGGGCTCATCGTGAGAAACTCGTGTGGAAGGAGGGAGGATGCAGGTCGGTGCCTGCAGACCTGCTGGGCAGGTGTGAGGCCCTCCTGCTCAGGTGAGGGGTTTGCATGGGCAGGAGGGGTCCTGACCAGGGAAATGCTCAGCAGGACTCAGCTGAGGGAATCTGGGTGCCAGGAGCACTTCTTACTCCTTGGGGTGAGGGGGGACTCACGAGAATACAGAGTAGACACGAATGGGAGTTCCTTGAGCTTCACAAAAATAACCATTTCTTCAGAAGGCTGACATTAACCTTTCCCGGGGTGCGAGCAGCTGCACATCCCTCAGAGGGACAGAACCACACACAGCTTGCACACAAATGCATTTTATTGCTCTCTACACACACAGAGACGCATACACAGTATGCACGTGAGCCATAGGGCAGTCCCAGCACTGGGAGAAACACCATCCACCAGGAATTCAACTACTCAATACAGATAAAAATCATTATTATAATGAAAATGCTAAAAAAGCATAGCTTACACCCAGAATGTATAACATTGACAAATCAAGCCTGTTACTTACTACCTTTTCTTTAACATAAAGCAGGAACATACCCTTTTTCTAAATTGAAAAAAGCATCAAAGAGTAGAAATATTCCACATAGTTTCCTAACTCCTGGTCATCCCTCCCACTGGATATACAGAACAATGAAAGGGCCATGGGGGAGAAATCCAAACTAAAACCAAACCCGTTTCTGATGCTGCACAATTGATAAGCAAACAGTGGGAAATGGACTTTAACCAAGTCTGCATGGAGCAAAGGGAATAAATTTCTCCTCTGGAGTGAGTGAGCCAACCTGAGTCACTCAAGCCAGAGCAAAGCTGGTGGCTGTTACAGGGAATATTAGAGAACATCTCCTACAGCAATTGCTGTCCATCACAAATGTAACATTTACAAACACCCTCCTTCATTCTGAAGATGTTGCCCCTGCCTGGGCAGCACTGCAGCAGTGCCTACACAGCTTCCACACCAAACAGAACACCACAACTTTTGCCAAAGGATCCCAGAAACGTCAAAAGTATGGCATTCTTTCACACATAAATGAAATACAGGGGGAAATAAAATTCCCTACAGCAGAGAGGATCAGAGCTGGACTATCTGATGCAGTCAGATCCTTCCTCTGGACTGTCACAGGTCCCTGCAGTGAGGACTCCCCGACTACCAGGGCCTCCAGAGAGGGCAGGTGTCCTTTGGAGACACTTGTTTCAGGGGGCTGGCGTTCCCAGGGCAGCAGGAGAGCTCCGGAGCAGCCGACTGGCTCTTCTGGAAATGGCTTAAAAGTTTGGTCTGGGTTTCAGTTCGGACTTTATGGAGAGAGAGGAAGTGGAAAGCTTCTTGCAAGCACCTGGAATAGCCCTCTCTGAAGTCAAACTGGGAGCTTTTATGGAAGGATCCTGCAGCTAGAGAAGGGAAGAAGAGAGGGAGAGGGAAGAAAGAATAGTTTAAGCAGTTGTTCATGTCTCGGTATTAATACTACTGTCACAGATTTGCAGTAAGATGGAGAATGAAACAAAATTCAATATTCACTCTTCATCTGCAGCTGGCTCTGCTGTTTCAGGTAGCTGACAGTCATCTCCAGGATGTCGGCTTTCTCCAGCTTGGAGTTGGGCTGGTGCCTCTGGAACTCCTTCTCCAGGAGCAGTTTCAGCTGCTCGATGCTGCTGTTAATCCGGTCCCGGCGCATTTTCTCCACCACCGGCTTCCTCAGCTGTAAAAAGCAAAGGAAAAGACACCTGTTATTAAAGGATCCTCTGTCTGTCACCCCTCAGGGCTGTTTGGTGCCCATCCCTGCTCCTAAGCCGTGTGGGGCAGGTTCTCAGCTGGTGTCAATGCTCCGAGAGCGCTGCCAGGCTGTGCTGGGACTTACTTTGTTTTTCTCCTTTGGTGTCAGCAGGTTGTCGGGCTCCAAGAAAACGGTGCTGGGAGCCATCTGTCCTGAGAAGGGAAGGGAGCCCTCAGAGTGGAATCCAGGAGAAACGTGCTGCTGGAAGCTGCCTCTGCCTGGTATTTATACTGCCCAGGCTCAGGGCGAGTCTGTGGGTCTGCGGCTCCGTGGAGTTTCCCACAGTCGGCAGCCAATCCGGGAGGTGGGAAGCACAATGGGAGAAGCAGCTATTCTTGCATGCTCCAGTGGCAGTGAATAGCCTGCGGATAATGACCTTCTCCCAGATGAGCAGGTGGGGAGTGTGTGCTACGTGAAAGCCTGGGATCAGAGTTACGTGTCAGGAGCTGGGAAAGAGCTGGCCTTCAATGGGAAACGCTGCTGACTAATGCCATGGATCAATAGCATTCCAGGGGCGGCCGGGGGTTCACAGGCAGGAGGAAGGAGGAGGAGGAGGAGGAGGTCAGCTGCTGATGGCGGGAAGGCTGCACTGCTCCTGGGAATGCACCGAGGCACACACTGGAGCAGGGCCATGGCACATGGAGCAGGGACAAGGCACATGGAGCAGGGACAAGGCACATGGAGCAGGGACAGTTTCCACACAGAGGTGCTCAGGAGGTGTCTGCAGTGGGAAGAGCTGACAGTGTCACTGTTTGTGCCTGATAAACAGAGCCAGGGATTCCTGTTGGAAAACTTGAACCGAATCTGCCAGCAATTCATCTGCCAAGTAATGTCAGGGCTGATGTTTGGGGAGCTCTTCCTGCAGCAGTAAATGCTGCTTGTGTTGCCATTAATACATGTGTGTTCATCTGTACATCACTACACGTGTGCGGTCACTCGTGTCTGTCAGTGTGAGCACACACACCGAGCACACGGGCACATTCTCTCCCTCTGCAGCTCATTCCTGCAGGCCCAGGTAAGGTTTAAAGGAGCTCCTCCAGGCTCTGCCATTCCAGCCCCATTGTGCTGCTCTGAATGGGCTCCTTCTCTCCCTTCAGAGCAGCAGCTGTTGAGCTCCCGGGCCTTTATGTCAAGTTGTGGGAAAGCTTTTGTGACACCATTTCACATGTTCTCCTCAAAGCCTGTGGATTATCTTTGAGCCCCTGTAATGCCACCTCTGAAACCAATCCTGCTCTCTGCACGTCCCTCTTGGGGAGATTCCCTGACACAGAAACTCCAGAGCTGGAACTCATTTCTTGAGCTCGTTAATTGAGCACATGAGGAAGAAAAGTGCCAGTCCTGTGATCTGCAGGGCCACTGGCAGTTTTGCTACAGACAATTGCTGTTTTCCTCTTACTTCTCCACTCAATTCCTGCATAATTACTACACTAACTCCATGGGAACAGTCATGCCAACCTTACCCTCCTTGCTCTTGGTGGTGGTTGTGCACTGGCACAGTCAAGGGGTCAGTGCTCAAAATTTCCTCTCCTTTCGGATCCAAACTGACCCAGAGCCTGCAACTGAGCAGGATGAATGTGAAATAATCTTCTGTGGCCTTGAGAAGTTCCCTTTAACTATAGAGGCTGGAGGCCCCACATATTTACATTGCATGTGATAATAAAAATTACAATATTCAATGTATTATTGGGAGGTGAATGTAGCAAAATCTCCCTTGGATGGTGAATCCTTTGAGGCTCCTACTCCCTCACTCTGTGTCAGAAACAAATTTTAAAGCATCTGAAATAAAAACATATACTTTTTATTTTCTCTTTTGTTTCACAATCTGTGAGGGGAAAAATTAATCCATCTTGGAAGAGCTACTCAAATTAGATGCTCAATTACCCAAAATAGATGCTGTGCTTTGGTTGGAAATCCTAAAGAAAGTGATAAAAAATATTCCTCCCTATTATAAAGTTTGCAGAATCCATGGACTTTGCACTAAGGAGAACGAATTTGGACTTACACACCTCCTACTGCGGTTCCAAACACACACAGTACTGCACAGAAGACTCATTAGGATCCCAAAATACTGGATCTGGATGTTTGAAATAGGGCATCAGCAATCAGCCTTCCCCCAGAATCCCTGCCAGATGTTATCCCTTGAGGAAGACTTAAAGATGCTGCTGCTTTCCCAAGTCCCTCAAAGATGCTCCCTGCTCCCAGTGCTTCCTGGGCCGTGCTGCCCAGATGGCCTTTTGGGAGCAGGGTTTCCCACTGAACACAAAGCAGAGCCAAGCACCGTTGCTAATGTGGTTTGTAGTCGGGCACACTTCCTTTGTGACAGGAGGGAATGTGGTTAGGGAATGGTGTGGGAAACTCTGGAGTACACTAACTTCCACAGCCCTGTGTTAGTAAGTCACTTGGAGAGGTGAAAGGCTTGGGAGCAGGGACAGAGGTGAACTGGGAATGGGAAAGACAAAATATAGGGTATTTAGTTCGTGCTGAGTCCTACAGTCCTGGAGTCGAAAATAAAACGGGTCCAATCCCAAGCTGGGATCACCACTGAGGCCAACAGAGCATTTGGGCTCCAAGATTTGCCCTGCAGCTTTTGTACCTCCGGAGCTATTTCCTGATCTCTGTAAACTTGTAAATACAAACTACACCTACACCTACAGCAGACTTGCCAAAACCCAGTCAGCAAAATTTGAGGCTGAATTTTCTCCCGTCAAATACCAAAACCAGACCCGGGTCTGACCCATTTCTTTCACCCAAGCAAAACAGAG